ATATATATATATATTATTTATTTAAAAATTATAAAATAAAAAGGTTATAAAATCACTACAAAAATAGCCATTTTGTTTCAACACCTCCGGTGTCTTATCAAGTGATGATGTTGAATGTAGAATAAATGGTTTTAAAAGTTTCAAATTAATTAACGATTCTTTGCTAGGGGAAAATGCTGTTACATAAGCTAGAATGACCAATCAAAACACGAGTATAAAAGAATTCAAAAAACTTGACAACGAAGTAAGGTCATAATAGCTATTAAGAGCTTTAAAGTTGGGGTTATACTAAAATAGAATTTATTCTAACCAATAAGTATTAAATTATATGATAAAATTTGATATTAAAAGTAAAAGTAAAAAAATACCAATTTTAAAATCTAAATTTAATCTCTGTTAAGTTTAAAATTATAAAATTACTGAGGAGAAAAGAAAAAAATACATATGTTATTCAACTACTCTGCTCTAAAAGAGTGCTCTACTCTGTATTGAGCACTCTTTTAAGAATAGTAATTGTTGGTTATTGGAATTTATTCCATATACACCAATTCTATACTTATATATATATATATATATATATATATATATAAGAGATTATGATAAAAACATGTTGAAATCACTATACAAACGCTTTCATGTTTCAATACTGTGATTGTACTTCTTCAGGCAATGGCAAGTAACTGGTGATTAAATGATATTTAAGGAAATTTTAAAACAAAGTGTTACCTCTTTTCCAAAAGTTAAAGGGTTGGGGAATAAGGTCAGAATAAAAATTAGACTTGTGGATATGTCTTGATTAACCAATTTGTTGTGATGAGATAAGCCAACTTCCCCATTCACGATAATGGACAGACTGGTTGCCGATAAAGTACGACCACAGTAAACAGTAGGAAAAAAGGTCTTCGTTTATTAACACCATTGCGGTTAGCTTACTCCTGACTCTGTCTCTGTATTTTGACATACCTACATCCGATTATAAAATTATTATTGAAAACCACACTCGGGTTTACTTTGTTTATTATATCTTGCACGAGATATAACACAATTAAATGTCAGATCTACACAAAATAGAAAAGTAAGCTCAGAGGGTAGACATAGGTGAGTTATTTTTTTCATGTCATGATAATCCAGAACATTTTCTACAGCTCCAGCTATGGAGTAATATTAATTGTTTGGTAGATAAAGAATTTGGGAACTTTCCAACAATGAAAATTCTTCAACAATTCATTTGTAGTCATTTTTATGAATATTTCTTCTTTTATTTTGTATGCTTTTGTATATTACCCATATTGGCTTTTTAAAGTTTTTTTTTTTTATTCTTATCAACATTTTGAAGTCATTATGTAAATTTTCTGACTTACCAACTGGGATAGTAATAATTATGAATATTTCTAGTCAGTTACTTCTTTATAAAATAATTTAGTCATGATTTAAGTGCCATTTAGAAAATGGATCCCTTAAATGGCTCATTGGACTTAGAAGAAATCATGAAAGATTTTTAATATATTTATTTCTTAATACCTTCCATGCAAGATTTAATCTGATTCAGGTGCTTTGGTAAATGATACATTTTATTGCTACTTTCTTATCTATCTGTACACATATAAGCTTACAGCCTGAAATCATTAACTGAATTTTGATCTGAAATTTTCATGGTACTATGTCTGATTTATATGATTAATATTCGCCAGTTAATTAAGTAATAAGAAATTGAAAAATAAATATTGTATAAAATAGATGCTGAGTGTGGTTAGGACTCAGCTATTTTCTGCATTTTTCTTTTCACTTTACAAAGTTTTATTTCATCATGTAAAAGTCTGGCAATTTTGTTACATCACATTTGAGGATGTATCATGCAGAAACCACCAAGATTTCTAGCAGCAAATTTAGGAAGATTATTCAGTTATAAAATAAACACCTGTGTATATTATTCAAAAATTCAACACTTGTTTATAGGCCAAAATGCAATATTGAATAACATTTCACTTGAACATGGCCACAATGAAATGACAAATATTTTTATAGAAAAAACCAGAAAAGGTGGAAATCAAAAACTTGTTGTTTGAATAACAAACTTAAAATATTGATTTTTCCTTTTTTAAGGAATGTTTTTGTTTTTTAATTTTATCAACACAAATAATGAAACATTTGTATATTTTTCTTATTGCATTGGAAAGCCCAGTGATGCAAAAAGCTTTGAATCTTGAAATAATTCAAATGATGAAAAAATGTTGAATATAACAAAAAAAATAACATACACTTCTAGCAACAGGGCTCAAAATTTTACGAATTGAAGAATGTGCTTTGGTCTGTGATTCAATTGCAGGTAATATAAGGTGTACAAAATGCTATGTTAATGACTGTTAGAAATATAGATTCTGTTCCCTGTCATTTCTATTATAAGTGTTTCATATTTGACTACATTCTACACTAGGCACATAGCTTTCCCTCAATTTATAAATCATAAGGTAACTGTTTGTAGAATAAAGGTCAAATAGGTGAAAATTAACAATATAATTTGTATATTGTGGGTGTTCAGGTGATCCATTGGCCTTGTCTGAATGTAATATTTTTATATATGTATTTTTTAGGGGTTAAAAGGTATCATCAACCCACAATGGGTTTATAAAATTACAAACAAAATTATATATGAGATGCCATGAAATAAGTAAAAACACCAATGATAAAATGATTTGGTATATATTTCAGAGAAATGATTGTATAATTTAAAGGACATATACTTTCATGGTAATTGCTCCGATGAGCTGCATTCGCTGGTTCCCAGACTTCATGAGTTCAAGCGCCCTATGAGGCTGGCATCCCGCTCTTACGCTTTCACTGTTGAAACTACTAAATGTAGCCATCTCTTCTACTCCAATAGCTTCATATCTCGCACCTCTCACCTGTGGAACTCCCTTCCCTATTCCAGTTTCCCTGAGAGCTATAATCTCCAACTATTCAAATGTAATGTCAATCGACATCTCCAGTTGCCTTGATCTATCCACTATCCTTCTCCTCATCCTTTCCTCTATCACTCCTATCTGATCTTGCTCCAAATCTTCTGTAACCCCTTGTGTCCTAGTGGCTTCCTGCCTTGCTTTGGGTGAAATGCTTAAAAAAAAAATATGTATAGAAAAATAAAGAGGTTTTGCTTATCTGTAGGTGGCAACATGTTTTATCAGAACTTTCCAGGAGGTTTGCCTTCTTTGATGGTCAAAAAATGGAAAGAGAAAGTTTTGATTTATGTTCCATTTGGCAGTAAAAGGCTTGTCCTGATGCATCATGGGAGTAATTTATATTTAACTATTATTTTATAATTTAACTTTTTCTTTCTTTATTGTTAATTACCATTCTTATCTTTTATTTTAAAGTATTTTTATTGCTTAACTTTTTTTTTTATTAATTATTTTGTTCCCAGACTACTACATAATCTAGTAGGAAGTGTTAGTGTTATTTAGTAATGTATTTATTGCTATTACTACAAGTATTAATAGTATTCAAAAGCATTTTGACTGCTGTTTCAAACAAATACACTTCTTGTCAACTAAAGTACTCCAAAGTTAAAAAGAAAACAGCTACTTAACAATGTATAGCTTCTTTTGTCAGAACTTACAGTCAAATTATGCTGTTCTTGTTCGATCATCAAAGTTAACATGTTTGTTGACAGTTCAATTATGAAAACTGATTTCAAACACAAAGTTTATTATAAGAAACTTAAGCATATGGTCTTCTTCAGGTGATTGGAATCTCAAAGTGAACTCTTTATTTGGCCCACCGGGTTAGATTGTTTTATTTCCACATGCCCCTTCCAGATGTCTCAGTTATCCACTGTTCCTGCCTCTCTGCATTACATCTTTCCCATAATTCTCTTCCCATCTATCCCAGTCTTTTCTAATGTATGTATCCACATCTCTTCTAATCTATCTCTTCATCTGTTCTATTTCCACATGCCATGTCTCTTCCATATGTCTCAGTTATCCACTGTTCCTGCCTCTCTGCATTACAACTTTCCCATAATTCTCTTCCCATCTATCCCAGTCTTTTCTAATGTATGTATCCACATCTCTTTTAATCTATCTCTTCATCTGTTCTATTTCCACATGCCATGTCTCTTCCAAATGTCTCAGTTATCCACTGTTTCTGCCTCTCTGCATTACATCTTTCCCATAATTCTCTTCCATCTATCCCAGTCTTTTCTAATGTATGTATCCACATCTCTTCTAATCTATCTCTTTATCTGTTCTATTTCCACATGCCATGTCTCTTCCAGATGTCTCAGTTATCCACTGTTCCTGCCTCTGCATTACAACTTTCCCATAATTCTCTTCCCATCTATCCCAGTCTTTTTCTAATGTATGTATCCACATCTCTTCTAATCTATCTCTTCATCTGTTCTATTTCCACATGCCATGTCTCTTCCAAATGTCTCAGTTATCCACTGTTTCTGCCTCTCTGCATTACAACTTTCCCATAATTCTCTTCCCATCTATCCCAGTCTTTTCTAATGTATGTATCCACATCTCTTTTTTCTATCTCTTCTTCATCTGTTCTATTTCCACATGCCATGTCTCTTCCAAATGTCTCAGTTATCCACTGTTCCTGCCTCTCTGCATTACATCTTTCCCATAATTCTCTTCCCATCTATCCCAGTCTTTTCTAATGTATGTATCCACATCTCTTCTAATCTATCTCTTCATCTGTTCTATTTCCACATGCCATGTCTCTTCCAAATGTCTCAGTTATCCACTGTTCCTGCCTCTCTGCATTACATCTTTCCCATAATTCTTCCCATCTATCCCAGTCTTTTCTAATGTATGTATCCACATCTCTTCTAATCTATCTCTTCATCTGTTCTATTTCCACATGCCATGTCTCTTTCCAAATGTCTCAGTTATCCACTGTTCCTGCCTCTCTGCATTACAACTTTCCCATAATTCTCTTCCCATCTATCCACATGTCTTCCAGTCTTTTCTGTTCTATTTCCACTATGTCTCTTCTAAATGTATCCACCATCTCCTTCTCTATTTCACTCTTCCCATCTTTCCCACATCTTCCACTCCCTGTCTTTTCCTAATCCACATCTCTATCTCTTCATCTGTTCTATTTCCACATGCCATGTCTCTTCCAAATGTCTCAGTTATCCACTGTTTCTGCCTCTCTGCATTACATCTTTCCCATAATTCTCTTCCCATCTATCCCAGTCTTTTTCTAATGTATGTATCCACATCTCTTCTAATCTATCTCTTCATCTGTTCTATTTCCACATGCCATGTCTCTTCCAAATGTCTCAGTTATCCACTGTTCCCCATCTATCCTCTCTTTCATCTACATCTTTCCCATAATTCTCTTCCCATCTATCCCAGTTCTTTTCTAATGTATCCACTGTTCTGTTTCCCTCTGCATTACATCCACATCTATCTCTTAATTCACTCTAATCTATCTCTCATCTGTTCTATTTCCACATGCCATGTCTCTTCCATATGTCTCAGTTATCCACTGTTCCTGCCTGCCTCTGCATTACATCTTTCCCATAATTCTCTTCCCATCTATCCCAGTCTTTTCTAATGTATGGGTCCACTTCATCTGTTCTAATATCTAGGGGTATCTCTTCTATTTCCACAATCTATCTCTTTTATCTGTTCTATTTCCACATGCCATGTTCTCTTCCCATATGTTCAGTTATCCACTGTTCCCACTCTAGGCCTCTCTGCATTATCATCTTTCCCATAATTCTCTTCCCATCTATCCCAGTCTTTTCTAGTCTCCACATCTTTCTAATGTATGTCTGTTCTATTTCCACATGCCATGTCTCTTCTATTTGTCTCAGTTATCCATGTTCCTGCTCTCATTACATCTTTCCCCATTTCCACTCCATCTATCCTGTTCTTTTCTAATCTATGTATCCACATCTATTTTTAATCTATCTCTTCATCTGTTCTATTTCCACTCTAGGGGTCTGTTCCAGATTTCCTCCAGGGTTTCTGTTCTCTTTCCATCTACATCTTTTCTAATTCCACTCCCATCTATCCCTGTCTCTTCTAATCTATCTCTTCATCTGTTCTATTTCCACATCTGTCTCTTCCATATGTCTCAGTTATCCACTGTTCCTGCCTCTCTGCATTACATCTTTCCCATAATTCTCTTCCCATCTATCCCAGTCTTTTCTAATGTATGTATCCACATCTCTTCTATTTCCACTCTTCATCTGTTCTGTTTCTCTTTCCATCTAGTTATCCACTGTTCTTTTCCACTGCATGCCATGTTCTTTCCATTCCAGGGGTAATGTCCACTCAGCCTATCCACTGTTCCCTGTTCCTCTCTCCAGGTGCATTTCTATTTCCACTCTTCCCTGTTCTTTCCCATCTATCCCAGTCTTTTCTAATGTATGTATCCACATCTTTCTAATCTATCTCTTCATCTGTTCTATTTCCACATGCCATGTCTCTTCCATTTGTCTCAGTTATCCACTGTTTCTGCCTCTCTGCATTACATCTTTCCCATAATTCTCTCCCATCTATCCCAGTCTTTTCTAATGTATGTATCCACATCTCTTCTAATCTATCTCTTCATCTGTTCTATTTCCACTTTCCACCATGTCTCATGTTTCTTTCCACTCTGGGGGTAGCCTGTTCTATTTCTCTCCCATCTATCCCAGTTCTTTTTCTAATGATGTCTCTGTTCTAGTTCTATTTCCACTAGGGGTAGCCTGTTCTATTTCCCTCTCTCTCTTTCCACTCTAGGGTAGCCTACATCTTTCCCATAATTCTCTTCTCTCCAGTCTATGTATGTATCCTGTTCTATTCCAATCTATCTCTTCATCTGTTCTATTTCCACTCTGGGGTCTGTTCTATTTTCTCTAGGGTCATGCCTGTTCTATTTCACTCTCCCAGCCTGTTCTATTTCCACTCTAGGGTATCCTGTTCTATTTCCAATCTATCTCTAGCCTGTTCTATTTCCACATGCTGGTCTCTTTCAGATGTCTCAGTTATCCACTGTTTCTGCCTTTCTGCATTACATCTTTTCTAATTCTCTTCCCATCTATCCCAGTCTTTTTCTAATGTATGTATCCACATCTTCCACTCTAATCTATCTCTTCATCTGTTCTATTTCCACATGCCATGTTCTTTTCCATGTCTCAGTTATCCACTTCTTTTGCCTCTCTGCATTACATCTTTCCCATAATTCTCTTCCCATCTATCCCAGTCTTTTCTAATGTATGTATCCACATCTCTTTCCCTCTATCTCTTCATCTGTTCTATTTCCACATGCCATGTTCTCTTCCAAATGTCTCAGGTATCCACTGTTTCTGCCTCTCTGCATTTGGGGTATCCTGTCTTTCCCATAATTCTTCTTCCCATCTATCCCAGTCTTTTCTAATGTATGTATCCACATCTCTTTCTAATCTATCTCTTCATCTTCTCTATTTCCACATGCCATGTTCTCTTTCCAAATGTTCTCAGTTATCCACTGTTCTCTCCCTCTCTCTGCATCTTTTCCGCTCTAATGTATGTTCTATTTCTCTTTCCCATTTCCACTCTAGAGAGGTAGCCTGTTCTATTTCCACTCTTTCTGGGTAGCCTGTTCTATTTCCCATTCTCTTCCCATCTATCCCAGTTCTTTTTCTAATGCATGTTCTATTTCCACATCTCTTATCCATCCCTCTCTTCATCTGTTCTCTTTCCATCCATGTCTCTTCTAATCTATCTCTTCATCTGTTCTATTTCCACTCTAGGGTAGCCTGTTCTCTTTCAAATGCTCATTATCCTGTCTTTCCCTAGGGTCTTCCCTGTTCTCTTCCCATCTATCCCAGTCTGTATCCACATTTTCTATTTCCAATGCATGTATTTCCAGTTATCCTGTTCTCTTTCCTCTCTGCATTAATCTTCCTATTTCTCTTCCCATCTATCCTGTTCTTTTCTATTTCCATTCTTCTCCATCTATCTCTTCATGTTCTATTTCCACTCTATGCCCTGTCTCTTTCCACTCTATCCACTGTTCTGCCTCTCTGCATTACATCTTTCCCATAATTCTCTTCCCATCTGTCCCAGTCTTTTCTCTAATGTATGTATCCACATCTCTTTCCAATCTATCTCTTCATCTGTTCTATTTTCCACATGCCATGTCTCTTCCAGATGTCTCTAGTTATCCACTGTTTCTGCCTCTCTGCATTACATCTTTCCCATAATTCTCTTCCCATCTATCCCAGTCTTTTCTAATGTATGTATCCACATCTCTTTCCACTCTATCTCTTCATCTGTTCTATTTCCACATGCCATGTCTCTTCCATATGTCTCAGTTATCCACTGTTTCTGCCTCTCTGCATTACATCTTTCCCATAATTCTCTTCCCATTCCCCTTTTCTAATCTATCCCAGTCTCTTCCAATCTATCTCTAATGTTCTGTTTCCATCCACATTTCTCTTTTCCAATCTATCTCTTCATCTGTTTCTATTTCCACATGCCATGTTCTCTACATCTTTCCTGTTCTCCAAATGTCTGTTCTATTTCCACTCTCCACTGTTCCTATTTCCACTCTAGGGGTCTGTTCTATTTCCTCTCTGGGGTACATCTTTTCTATTTCTCTTCCCATCTATCCCAGTCTTTTCTATTTCCACTCTAATCTAGCTGTTCTCTTTTCTACTCTCCACATCCTGTTCTATTTCCACTCTCAGGGTATCCACTGTTCTGTTCTTCATCTTTCCCATCTTTCCATCTTCCCCAGTCTTTTTTCTAATGTATGTATCCTGTTCTCTTTCCATCTCTCTCTTCATCTGTTCTATTTCCACATGCCATGTCTCTTCCAGATGTCTCAGTTATCCACTGTTTCTGCCTCTCTGCATTACATCTTTTCCATTTCTCTTCCCATCTATCCCAGTCTTTTCTAATGTATGTATCCACATGTTCTTTTTCCATCTCTTCATCTGTTCTATTTCCACATGCCATGTCTCTTCCAAATGTCTCAGTTATCCACTGTTTCTGCCTCTCTGCATTACATCTTTTCACTCATTCTCTTCCCATCTCTCCCAGTCTTTTCTAATTCTATTTCCACATCTCTTTTCTAAATCTATCTCTTCCATCTGTTCTAGTTCTGTTCTATTTCCATGCCATGTCTCTTCCAGATTCTCAGTTATCCACTTTTCACTCTATTCTTCCCATCTATCCCAATGTCCTTTTCTATTTCCACATGCTATTTCCATGTGTCTCTTCCAGATGTCTCAGTTATCCACTGTTTCTGCCTCTCTGCATTACATCTTTCCCATAATTCTCTTCCCATCTATCCCAGTCTTTTCTAATTCCATGTATCCACTAATCTATCTCTTCATCTCTATTCCACATGTTCTCTTTCCATCTCATCTCCTTCTAATCTTTCCCCATCTCTTCCCATCTATCCCAGTTCTATTTCCACATCTCCTATGTCCTTCATTCTATTTCAATGCCATGTCTCCTGTTCTCATTATCCACTGTTTCTGCCTCTGTTCATTACATCTTTCCCATAATTCTCTTCCCATCTATCCCAGTCTTTTCTAATGTATGTATCCACATCTATTTAATCTTTCATCTGTTCTATTTCCATGCCATGTATCCTCTTCTATTTCTCTTCCATGTTCTATTTCCTCTCTAGGGATTTCTCTAGGGTAGCCTTTTTCTAATGTTTCCATCCACATCTCTTCTAATCTATCCTGTTCTATTTCCCATCCTGTCTCTTTCAGATGTCTCAGTTATCCAGTTCTGCCTTTCATTACATTTCCCATAATTCTCTTCCCATCTATCCCAGTCTTTTCTAATGTTGTATCCACATCTCTTCTAATCTATCTCTTCATCTGTTCTATTTCCACATTCTCTTCCAGATGTCTCAGTTATCCACTGTTTCTTTCCTCTCTGCATTACCTGTTCTTTTCCTCTAATTCTCTTCCCATTATCCCTCTTCTTTTTCTAATTCTATGTTCCACATCTCTTCTAATTTCCACTATCTCTTCATCTGTTCTATTTCCACTCTGGGGTGTCTGTTCCATTTGTCTCAGTTATTCTGTTTCTGCCTCTCTGCATTACATTTCTTTTCCATAATTCTCTTCCCATCTATCCCAGTCTTTTCTAATGTATTCTATTTCCACATCTCTTCTAATCTGTCTCTTCATCTGTTCTAGTTCCACATGCCATGTCTCTTCCAGATGTCTCAGTTATCCACTGTTTCTGCCTCTCCACTCTATCTTTCCCTGTTCTCTTTCCATCTATCCCAGTCTTTTCTAATTTCCACTCTCTTCTAATCTATCTCTTCATCTGTTCTATTTCCACATGCCATGTTCTCCCAAATGTCTAGAGGTATCCTGTTCTTTTTCCTCTCTCTGGGGTACATCTTTCCCATCCTCTTCCAGTTCTTTTCTAATGTATGTATCCACATCTCTTCTAATTCTATCTCTTCATCTGTTCTATTTCCACATGCCATGTTCTTCCAGATGTCTCAGTTATCCACTGTTTCTGCCTCTCTGCATTACATCTTTCCCATAATTCTCTTCCCATCTATCCCAGTCTTTTCTAATGTATGTATCCACATCTCTTTCCAATCTATCTCTTCATCTGTTCTATTTCCACTGAGGTGCCTGTTCTCTTCCATATGTCTCAGTTATCCACTGTTTCTGCCTGTTCATTTTCATCTTTCCCCTGTTCTATTCCCATCTATCCCAGTTCTTTTCTAATCTATGTATCCACATCTCTTTCCCATCTATCTCTTCATCTGTTCTATTTCCACATGCCATGTCTCTTCAGGGGTCCACTGTTTCTGCCTCTTCCATTCATTCCCATGTTCTCTTTCCATCTATCCCAGTCTTTCTATTTCCACTCTCTTTTAATCTATCTCCATCTGTTCTATTTCCACTCTCTTTTCCATCTTTAGCCTGTTCTATCCCATCTATCCTGTTCTTTTCCAATGTATGTATCCATCTCTTTCTAATCTATCTCTTCATCTGTTCTATTTCCACTCTAGGGGTAGCCATGTCTCTTTCCAAATGTCTCAGTTATCCACTGTTTCCTCCTCTCTGTTCTATTTCATCTTTCCCATAATTCTCTTCCCATCTATCCCAGTTCTTTTCTAATGTAGGGTATCCACATCTATTTCCAATCTATCTCTTCATCTGTTCTATTTCCACATGCCATGTCTCTTTCATATGTCTCAGTTATCCACTGTTCCTTTCCTCTCTGCATTACATCTTTTCCATTTTCTCTTCCCATCTATCCCAGTCTTTTCTAATGTATGTATCCACATCTCTTCTAATCTATCTCTTCATCTGTTCTATTTCCACATCCATGTCTCTTCCAGTGTCTCAGTTCCATATCTTTCCATAATTCTCTTCCCATTTCCCATCTAATGTACTGTTTCTATCTCTTCATCTGTTCTACCCCACATGCCATGTTCTCTTCCAAATGTCTCAGTTATCCCTGTTCTGCCTCTCTGCATTAGCCTTTTCCATTTCCTTCCCATCTAGGGGTTTCTAATGTTCTCTTTCCCATCTATCTCTTCATCTGTTCTTTTCCACTCTAGGGTAGATGTTCTATTTCCACTGTATCCTATTTCCCATATCTCTATCCCAGTTCTATTTCCATCTATCTCTTCATCTGTTCTATTTCCACATGCCATGCCTCTTCCATTTGTCTCAGTTATCCACTGTTCTGCCTCTCTCTGCATCATCTTTCCCATAATTCTCTTCCCATCTATCCCTATCTTTTCTAATGTATGTATCCACATCTCTTTCTAATCTATCTCTTCATCTGTTCTATTTCCACATGCCATGTCTCTTCCATTTGTCTCAGTTATCCACTGTTCCTTTCCTCTCTGCATTACATCTTTTCTATTTATTCTCTTCCCATCTATCCCAGTCTTTTCTAATGTATGTATCCACATCTCTTCTAATCTATCTCTTCATCTGTTCTATTTCCACTCTATCTGTTCTTCCATTTCCACTCTAGGGGTCCACTGTTCTGTATTTCCTCTCTGCATTACCTGTTCCCATATTTCTCTTCCATCTATTCTTTTCTAATGTATGTATCCTGTCTTTCCACTCTAGGGGTATCCTGTTCTATTTCCACTCTAGGGGTCCATGTTCTCTTTCCATATGTCAGTTATCCACTGTTCTATTTCCCTCTGCATTAGCCTGTTCTATTTCCCATCTATCCCAGTCTTTTCTAATGCATGTATCCACATCTCTTTCCATCTATCTCTTCATCTGTTCTATTTCCACATGCCATGTCTCTTCCAGATGTCTCAGTTATCCACTGTTTCTGCCTCTCTGCATTACATCTTTCCCATAATTCTCTTCCCATCTATCCCAGTCTTTTCTAATGTATGTATCCACATCTCTTCTAATCTATCTCTTTATCTGTTCTATTTCCACATGCCATGTCTCTTCCATATGTCTCAGTTATCCACTGTTCCTGCCTCTCTGCATTACATCTTTCCCATAATTCTCTCCCATCTATCCCAGTCTTTTCTAATGTATGTATTCCACATCTGTTCTTTCCAATCTATCTGTTCTTCCTCTCTGCATCTGTTTCTATTTCCTGTTCTATTTCTAATGCCATGTTCTATTTTCTATATGTCCTCTCTCATTAACCTGTTATCCACTGTTTCTGCCTTCTCTCTTCATTACATCTTTCTATTTCCCATAATTCTCTTCCCATCTATCCCAGTCTTTTTCTAATGTATGTATCCACATCTCTTCTAATCTATCTCTTTTATCTGTTCTATTTCCACATGCCATGTCTCTTCCATTCAGTTATCCACTGTTTCTGCCTCTCTGCATTACATCTTTCCCATAATTCTCTTCCCATCTATCCCAGTCTTTTCTAATTCCACATCTATCCTCTTCTTCATCTAGGGTTTATTTCCACTCTAGGGGTAGCCTGTTCTTTCCATATGTCTCAGTTATCCACTGTTCTGCCTCTCTAATCATCTTTCCCATAATTCTTTCCCATCTATCCCAGTTTTTCTAATGTTCTATTCCACATGCTTTTAATGTTCTATTTCTCTTCATCTGTTCTATTTCCACATGTCTCTTCCAAATGTCTCAGTTATCCACTGTTTCTGCCTCTCTCATTACATCTTTCCCATAATTCTCTTCCCATCTATTCCAGTCTTTTCTAATGTATGTATCCACATCTCCTTTAATCTTCATCTGTTCTATTCCACATGCCATGTCTCTTCCATGTCTATTATCCACTTCTGCCTCTTCATTCTCTTTCCCCATAATTCTCTTCCATCTATTCCAGTCTTTTCTAATGTCCATCCACATCTTTAATCTATCTCTTCATCTATCTCGGTCTCTTCCTATCTATTATCAGTCTTGTTCTTTTCCAATCTATTTCAGTCTCCATCTATTTATCTCGTTTTATCTAATTCAGTTTCTTTCCATCTATCTCATTATTTGTCAATCTGTCTATCTCAGTCTCTTCTCATCTATCTATCTATCTATCTATCTATCTATCTATCTATCTATCTATCTATCTATCTCAGTCTCTTCCTATCTATTATTTGTCTTGTTCTTTTCCAATCTATTTCAGTCTCTATCTATTTATCTCTTCCTAATTCAGTTTCTTCTCATCTATCTCAGTCTCTCTCTATCTCTGTCTATATCTGAGATGAGGTATTATGATTACTTGCATTAATTTCATTAATCGAACTGTTATCATCATCTTCATTGACATATTCACAACTTTTCCGCCAGTGTATGCTCCAGTCTTCTTCTGGTGATTGGAATTTTGAACTGAACCCTTTATTTCATCCACCACATGAAATGCCTCTTCTGGATGTCTCAAGGACACATGCCACTGTGAATACAGACGTTGGTTAGATCTAGTGACTAGACACAAAGAGTTCTGAGTTCAATACCAGGCCACAGCAGTGGTGAACCAAAACTTGGAGAGTTGGGTTAAAGGTAAATGACTGAGACATCCGGAAGAGGCACGGCACGTTGAACTAGAACAACCTACCCCGGTGGACGGAATAAAGTGTTTGGTTGGAAATTTCAATCACCTGAAGAATGCCGAACGTACAACAGCTGAAACGTTTTAAATATAGTAATGAAGATTAGGATAATAGTCCGAATAATATAAATAATGCATACCAACCATGAGTTTTTGTGGTTGATTGACATATACTAATTTTTTTTTTAGCAGTATGAAATAATTAAAAATTATAATGAATTAAAGTGTGAATAAATAAATATTAACTAATCTGAGTTTGTCTTTTTCACTTATTTTTGGGAGAAGTATTTGAAAAGAAAGCTAGATGATTTATTAAAAAAAATGGTTTCATTTTCATTGGCTCTATAAAAGACCACGAGAAATAACTTTCATGGTGGATTGTTTATTTAATCAATGTTTATACCGATTTGTGGCACAAGGCTGATGGGAGAATCAGGAAAAGCTCTATCAACATTATCCTACTCTTAGTCAATCTGATTCACAAGCCATTCATTCTAACAACACAGTCACCAAAAGAACTAATCGCTGTCCATTCAATCCGAACCATGCATCAAAATACCACATTTTTGCCGGGGACCAAATACAACACTGATGATTATACAAATTTCTGAATATGTTCACACACACACACACACACATATATGAAAGTGTACACTGAAGTCAACACTCAGAGTCGACAGGCTGTTTCATGCTAGATGCAATCGTCAGGCTGCGTGTGTTGGATTTTTTCTCGACTCGAGAGAAAATCCAACACTCGCAGCCTGACGATTGCGTCTAGCATGAAACAGCCTGTCGACTCTGAGTGTTGACTTCAGTGTATACTTATATATATATTTATATTTACATATGTTCTCTCTCTCTCTTTCTGATATTGAGTTCTTTATCCCATAAATATAGCACACCTTAAAACTATATTTCTTTATATATATGTAAATATATAAAAATTTCCTATGACATGAAAGGGGAATGGTTGAACTCTTTAAATCAAAATAAATGATAAACGAAACATTCAAATGAAATGAAATCTGTGTTAGTGAGGAACCGCCCAACCCACCAAAATAAGAATGTTTTATTAAACAATCGTTATATTGTTTTGTGGCACAAGGCCGATAGGGAAGTGAGGAAGGCTGGTCGACACTGTCTATACTACTCTTAGCTAATTCGACTCACAACCCATCCGCCATTGATGCAGTCACCACAAGGACCTATCCTTCTCTATCCAATCTTAACGTGTACCAAATACCACATTTTCGCAAAGAATCAATAAAACGCCCACGATGCTAAAAAAATTCTGAATATATAATCCTGGCAAGGACCATAACAAAAGAGAAAAACCGGCATGATGACGGGTACGACTGTCACTCACGTTAACTAAAAAAACAAAGAGAGACTAGTTTAACCAGGGGTGAGGTCTGCTAGGTATCTTTCCCGTTGTGAATTGAAGAGACTAAAATAGGAAATCGAGATTGGCCCGATTGACGCGAACCAGGCCCGCAACCCGCACCCATCTTTTGCTGAAATCTGCCGAAACCAAACACTATCAGTTGTTCTGATTTTCTTCCCGAGCTGTGTCAATGTCTGCATGTAGAAGGGCACAAAACTATCCAGTAAATTCGTTACCAATTCCATTGTCGCAGTTACTAGTCCCGTAATCTGATATGGTTGTGGAAGCACTGTATTACTGAACTCGTCACTAACTGACTCCATTTTTAGCAGCGTTGGAGAGAAGGAACTGCGTTTCTGCAAAGTTCTTCTGTCCAGTTAGTGATGTTGTCTACCAACTTATTTTTATTGTTTGACTAGTCACCTTTTCTTCTGTGCCGTTTTCTGAAGGAAGGTCTTATGTCCTAATCTTTCTGGTTTCAATATCAGATCGTGTCATCTGATTCTATCTCTTCTAGTCTTTTAGAGAATCATTGCAGACTTTTGCATTCTTATTTTTATTGGATGATCAGTATGGCTTTCTTGTCCGTTTTGTTAATTAAATTTTTTGAGCTGATTGTAGTTTTCTTCTATTTGCTCATCATTAATGTTTTTAATTTTTTTTATTGATTCGTTAACCACCCTCTTACGCTTAGGATCTTACTTTGTATGTGTGCAGTCGTATTTTTTTAACATAAAAATTGACCTAATACAAGTATTGAGAGATTGATAGGCTTTCTAGAGTAGGAAGTAGTTTAATAACTAATTTCTTTTAGAATTTTTTAGACGATGCAAGATTTCTTTTATGTCTTTATAGGAAATAAATTCAAATATTTAGTTTCAAAAAGCTATGCACAAATTGTCTAAAACAGCAGAAATATAAATTTGTTTTTTTTTGTCGCTATATCTGATTCCATTTTCCTTTCAAAATTCTCAAATGTAATTTCTTCAAAATGTTTTTTTTTCTAGGGAACAACTTTTGTACGGACTTCTCTTCATTTCCCTTGTGGCTTTGATCAAATCTACCTACGCATCTTCTGAACGTATGTATTTTTTCCATTTTCCTTTCTAATGATGATCAAGACAGTTGGAAAAACTATTACGAAACTCTTTTTTTTTTAATGGCTTTTACAAAAGTTCTAATTTCGGCTAAGTCGAATCATTGTTATCAATTCACAACCAACTGCTAAGTATTCAGTTTAACCAAATGGAACAAATGTTCTGGAGGAAGGTTGACGCAAAACAAGTAGAAAAGTTTCGTCTGCATTAAAAATTACATTAAAACATTTTTTTTTTTACCTGGGGTTAAATTTATCCTTCCGTCTTTGGTATGACGATAAACTACATCCGCGTCCAAGGTAAGACGATAAGCTAAATCCAACAGCAAGGCTTCTGATGAAGAGGTTTTGAGGAGCGTGGAACCACCTCTTAATTGCTGGTGTTCCCAGCTCCACCCTGACCCGGGGTGGTAGCACCTGTTAGGGTCCCAGCTATGGAAAAATCGTTACCCGCCCCTAAAAAAGGGGGTCAAAACACTATGAAAGTATAAAAATCCGTTTTAATATCAGCAATACATTTTTGAAAAAAAATTATTACCAGCAATAAAAAATCTTGTCGGTATTAAATAACCCATTGAAGTTGATATGCCATAAACCATATCAAACTTCTCCTTAGCGATGATGGGAAATATGGGCGTGTTTTAATATGGCATGTAATTGTGCTGGAAATAGAGTTTATTTCCTGTAACTTTCTTTAATGTTTTTTTTTAACATACGTCTCAAAGAAAGTTTAATAAACAAAACCTACTTTAATTTAATTATTTTTATATAACTTTATTTTATATTTTTAATTATATATTTTGTTATAAAGTGGCTGTTTTAATTGAATAGCTTTTTAATGTTCTAAAATATTAACTGTTTTATAGAACAATGGTAATAGTTAATCTAAGTTTTATTCAAAACAGCATGTACAGCAATGGATCCGGGATTTTCTCCATCTAGCCCGCCTCGTCTTTTTATTGATGTAAATGAAGCCAGTGAACAAGGTAACTATTATGATTTTTGGGTTTAATAAATTCATCTTCGTTTTTAAAAAATAATTTCTTATTTGTGCTTACATATTTCTCAGTCATTTAATTTCTTTCCTATTGACAATGATAAAAGATTACCTCGATTATCTGATGACAATAAACTCAAACACAAAGATTATCTCCTAATCTTAGAGTAACCAAAAGAAAAAAAAATGTCAAACTGACGAAAAATGCTATTTACTTGGAGGGGGTCCCAACAACAAAACACGAAAGTTACCAACCATTTTGTCTGGGTGATTTTTCTCGCACACTGGACAAAACGCTTTATTTTTCCTATATATATATATATATATATATATATATATATATATATATATATATATATATATATATATATATATTACAAATGTCATGGAATTTCAGAAAACTGAAAAAGTTTATGTCGGAATAATACAAATTGATCCAGTTTCGATGTAGAATAAAACAACATACGCTTACTTCGCTAACCATTATGCTGTAAAGAACTCCTGTTTCGTTTTTCACCTGTTAAGAAGCTTTAAGAATAGGTTTTGTTTTGTCTTCTGAATGGACTCCGTTTCATGAATACATGACAATAGTTTTCTCAACCCTTCCCTTTTGTTGTAAAGGTGCCAGAGGTGCTTAGCAATATTTATCGGAAACTTCGGAAATAAACGAACAGAATCAAAATTATAAATAAATGACTTCGATTGGAGTGAGTCCTTTGTAGTTTGGTGTAGCTAAAATTAAATTCCGTTAGTTATCTAGTCAGACCTTGGAGAAGGTCAGTTTCGGCTCGGTAGTTGATAGTTTAAAAGCCAAACCTCAGTAGCAGTTGTCATCTTGGAAATAGTTGCGGCGTCAAACTGTTGTACTTTCTCGCCCCCCCCCCCCTTCTTGGCTGGTTTCTCGGGTCCCTTTTTTCCTTCTGCTTCAGGGCAGTTCGTTCATATCCCTTTTGACGTAGATTACTTCTTTTTTTATTTTATTAGCCAAAATTCTTTTTATTTTCCGGCATTTATTTCTTTTTCCATTTTTTTTTTTATAGCGGAAGTTATGCGTGGAGACTCTCTTATTTTGGTAGATTTTTAGTCACAATGGCTAAACCCATGGATCAGAAAACTTTGCTCGTTTTGCAGTCTTTAGTCATTTTCTTTTTTTTTTATTTGGGGGTTGCCTTCTCGTTAGGGGATAGAGAAAGAGAGGTAGAGAGATAGAGAGAGAGAGAGAGAGAGAGAGTTTAAAGGAAATTAAATGACTTAGGGTCTGTCTATATTTCTGAGATGAGGTATGTACAGTATTTACATTAGTCGGACTATTGTCCTCATCTTTGTCGCCATATTTGTCACAACGTTTCGGCCGTTGTACGCTCCGGCCTTCTTCAGGTGGTAGGAATTTCGAACTGAACCCTTTATTTCGATCACTGGGGTAGACTGTTCTAAATGACTTATTTTAATTTTTATTTTTATATATTTTATTTTCGTATTTTATTTTACATTTTGGCTTCAACAAACTTTCAATCGTACTTTCTTTTCAAAGGGATATTTATTTGTATCTTTAATATTCTTATTGTTATAGCAGTTGATCTTTACTTCTCCAGTTTAGGAAATCATCTGCCAAGAGACTAAAACGAAATTAAAATATCCGTCACCTCCAAGAGCTATGTATATCGCCCACGATAAAACGTATATCTAGAAGCAGATGTCCCACGTGTTATAAATGTACCCCTAGTTCTTCAGGCAATTTAGCAACATTGAAAAGAAACATATTCGCGTAGTGGTAGCTCAGTTGACTAGAAAATGTTACAACATAACTGAACCAAACAAAGAAATATTCCTTTGAAAGGGATGGGACTTTGGTGCAACTGAAAGGGAAGGGGGAGAGGAAACGACTGTCAATGATATGGAGTCATCCACGGAACAAAACAAGACCTGTTCTTAAAGGCTAAAGCATTTTAACATGTGAAGAAAGAAACGTGGGGTATTTAAAGCATGACGGTTAATTAAGGAAAAGAAACGTTTTCCTTCTACAGCGCGAAAAGGGGGCTAACCTTACTCCCTATGTCGGGCAGATAATTAATCTTGGAACAATAGAAAAATTGACGATTTCTTTAAAATCGTGAAAAATTCCATATAACGTTCATTTCAAAGAATTAAACCTATTTACTCCATTGAACAGATTAGTCCTGTTTTTAACCCATTACCTGCCATGACCCCCATTTGGGGGATCTGTTAAAATTAAACTCACTACATGTTATTGAATATTCCTTGTATTTACATTGAATTGCTTACATACATTGCATTTGCAGAGGTATATTTTTAATACTTAGCCTTTAAAGTTTTTATTATTAGCCGTAAGAAGAGACTTTCTGTCGTAATTTTACATTCCACGAGTAGAAAAATAATGACTTTTGAAAAGTATTTTTTTTTATTATTTCTAATCAATATTATTGTTTTGATTTTTTTTATACACATATATATTTGATGTCCTAGTTTCTAAAAACGACAATGGTAATGACTGAAATTAAACATAAGGAATAAATAAACTCCTAACTCACCTGTCTGGGCCAAAAATGCGCATTAAAAAATTTGGCAGTTGAATATTTTCAAACAGGCGAAGATAAATTCTTATTTTTTTTAAAACTGAAGGAGGCTGAGACAATTCGCAAAAATGAACAGATGGTTAAATATTGTTAATAGTAATTATGTTTTTTATCTAAGCTTATGGTTCTACAAAATTTGGGTTTCAAAATTTACCTCCAAGGCGTTAAATTAGGAATGCGACATGTTTGAATAAAACCTTGCAAGAGTTTATTTTTGACCTTAATTGTAGGAAAAGGGAAATAACTAAAATATAATTCGACAAGATTTATGTCCCTTGCTGAATATATATATATTTTTTTATTTTTATTATTATTATTTAGATAGGTAATGTGTGGGTTACTAAAATGGCTATGCGTTTTTTTTTTTTTTCGGATAACTTCCTTGATCCAAATATACACCATTTTTTTGTGTGTGTGGAGAGCTTTGTAAAAACGCATGTAAAGATAATTAGTACAAAGATATATTTTGCTTTTGCACTTACTGATAAAATTTTTTATATCTCTTAAAATAAAATATACAATATTTAAAAAGTAAAAAGTCCATATCAGAAAGTTCTCGTGTTGAATGTCTCTAAGTCTTTAAAGCTTTTATTATTAGCCGTAAGACGAGACTTTCTGTCGTAATTTTACATTTCACGAGTAGAAAAATAATGACTATTTCGAAAAGTATTTTTTTATTATCAATACCTGTTTTTGATTTTTTTACACATATAGATTTGAATATGTTCTCTAGTTTCTATAAAAACGACAATGGTAACTACTAGGTTAAGAGAGATTGGGCACCTCGGTATGGTGTAATAATTAGCAATCTTGTCTGTTAGAACAATTACGTCTGAGTAGTGAGTTCGATTCTCACTGGGTGCCACATACTTTCGGCCTTGTGCCACATCTAAGCTACGCTTGGAAAATCACTATAAGAGAGAGATTAGGAGAATCCTTGTAAATGTGTGTCTATGTATCTAATTATGTCTTGATCCTTTCGATTATCTGTGATTTTAGTTGTCCGCGAAAGTGTAGGGTATGTGAGAATGGAAGAAATATTTCTTAGACTCTCTGTTTGCCTTGCCTGTTATCACTTCTTTTTTTTTTTTTTTGAGGCAAAGCAATTCATTTCAGAATTGTCTCTTGATTTCTGATTGGTTCACAAAATTCATTGACCATCCCTTTTTCTTTACGTCCATTTAGGAATGATAACCTTTTGTCCTATTTACTTTCTTTCTTTCTTTTTTTTTTCTTTTTGTTTTTACTCCTTTATGGCAAACCAAAATGGTTTGCCAACTTTTAGTTTTCTACTTTTTTAAAATAGTGAACTTTTTATTTTTCTGTCACGTATGTATGTATGTATGTATGTATGTATGTATGAGCGTTATCGTAGGGTAGGAATGCCTTTGAAGTAATCGCTCCGTCTTAAAATGTTCCGTTCGTTTACCAAGTGTAAAAAGTGAGAAAGGTAGAGATAATAATAACGATAGCTTGACGTTTGTCAAGGGACATGTTAACACGCTCGTCTCCTTCTCTCTGCTGACAGGCGAACTTGCTTGTCTTTTATTTTGTTTGTGGGGCTTGAAAAGGTCATTTGGGAATTCACACCTGGATATGATTCGGGCCTTTCCATTGGACAACGACAAACTTCGCGTCGGCTTGCGAAAAGACCCGTAAAAGAATTTGTTTCTGAGAATTGAAGATTATTTGAATTTTGTTTTTAAATGTTTTCTAGTTTTCTATTTGCCGAAAAACATTTCGCATCAAGGTGTGAAATTTCACGAGTTTTGTTTTGGATTCGCTTTTGCGTGTGTGTTAAGCAAAGTTTGTAAATTTGAGTATTTTTAATTTCTAAAAAAATCAATGAGTCGATGCTTAGCATTTGAATTTTAAATTTAGATCTTGTTTTGTTCACTACAATAGCAACGGATCATATTAGCGGGCATAGAAACGAAGAACGCATTACTTTTTGGTGTGACATACCATCAGACCGCTTCCATGATTGAGCATTGCTTCCTGGCAGCGATTCTTTTAATATTGAGATTAATTCTCTCAATTATACCATTGCCTGCAGGAACGTATGTACACCTCACTTCGCTAAGAAGTATTTGACCAGCTCTCTACAGAACATTGTAGTAGTTCTTCTGGTGGGCCTCTGGTCGTAAAAGAGGACCTCTAAATGATTGATGACGCCTGTAGAATTATTTTGATACTAAGATTGCCAAACTGCGAACCGGCTAGGGCCATATTTGATCAGTACCAGTATCTTCCATTATAGTGTGTGATGCCTCAATCGTTTCCATAACTCAAGTACACAGTTTGCCTTGTATTGGGGCGGGGGTCGATTGATTGACATTCCTTAACATCTGTCTTCGAAGTAGGGGATGAATCCGCTTTGGAAAATGCAATGTACACTTTAGGCCTGGATGCCCACTTTGGTAGTTCACAACCCTTAGAGATCGAGATCAGGTGCATCCACTGATGCAGAGTAAGTGGGTTCAACTTTTCTTGTAGCCCTTTTTGTGGGACTCGACAGTGCCTGCCCGGTTCGGTTCTGATCAGACCAATGTCACGTCCACCGACAGCTCGTAACCTTCATTAATTTCTCTAAGCTACCAAATAACCTTCTGATGAGCATTTCATTTGTACCTTTAGTGTGTACTCGGGCCTTTACTGTGAGTCCGATACCTACCGATGGACACACGCAGAATGCGTGAACAGATGCATTTTGGTTGTGTCCCACCAGAGCGCTAAGTGAAATCCTTTCAGCAGGGCATCAAGTCCTATCACGTTGATGCGTTGTGTGTCCTATCACTGGACGCACCCTAGGACTCACCTTTAACGACTACTCCTCCAAATTCCAGCGAGATCCTGACAGGAAGGGAGCTCACATCGACCCACACCTCCAACGTGCGTCCGTCTACGCACCGCTTGCTATGTGCAGGGTTATTGTGGCATATTCTGGCAATGAGTTCTGTGACCATGTTTTTAAGAGGTGGGGCTCATTCACCTCATCACTTCAACTATCTGTGAGTGCTGTCGCTCTGCGCTTGCTAAAAGGTGTCACAACTGAGCCAACCGTAAACAGGGAGGTGACCCACCAGTTTCTCAAAACAGTGAAAATACTTTCGGAACGTCGCTTCCACGGTTACAGTAGAGGGTATTGTAGTCTTCCAGATATACAAGCCAAGGACTTGAGAACCTTTTTTTAATCGCTTTCGCTCGTTACGTGTCAACCCGTAATCGGCTAGGTGTTGTATGCGTGCCACAGATGCTATACTTTCATTGACATGTCGTCAATGTATATTGATGTCGCTTGTCGAATGGAATCGTCTTCTGAAAGTGGTGCGTCCACGATGGATTTCATTATTGCTGGCACCACGTTCAGTCCGAAACCCATTCGGGTCAAACAATACCTGCGCCCTTTGAGGATCACAATCTGGAAATGATAACGATTTGTGTACGCACACGTGTAAGCAAGCCTTTCGCAAGTCAAGAATAGAAACAGACCCTCTTTGCCGCCACTCTCTCAACTTCTGCGCACATGTTGGGACCAGCTGTGTGAGCGTCAGCGTACTCGTTCAGCTCATGATAGTCCAACACAGGACGCACTTCTTTGTTCTCTTGCACCACTGCCATCAATGGGATTAGGCATCTAGAGCGGGGACCTAGTCATTCGCATCGAAAACACTGTACTTGTTGATGGTCCTTTCGTGGTCCCTGTGGTCGATACTTGCAATCCTTTGTATAATGATTAGGTCCGGAGCACCTGTAGCAGCTGATGTTAGTATGACACTTAGTGAAGGGAATGTTCGTTCCAATTAGAAGATAGGCTGACATGAATGGTTCTTCAGTTGTCATTCCATCTTTCATAATCGCACAGGTTCTACCCAGTAATTGCCTTACATTCATCTCGTCCATTCTCGAAGAGGCTCGCAATGTTTGTTTTGCGTTGTTTAGCAGTCTCGCCACATAAGCACCTATCAGACTCTCCTCCGATCTTCCCCCAAACAGCCAAGCAAGATTTCGTAACTCTGAAGATATACACCGACAGACTCTCCAGAGCGTAAATAACAAACCATAAACTGTACATAGGCTATTAATTTTTCTGTTGAAAAGGCAATTCATATTGCTGTCTTTATTTCTGCGACGCCTGACATTTCCTCCACGCTAAGCTGTCGGTACACAGCAAGGGCACAGCCGCTTAAACGCAATGGAAAAATGTTTTCCAGTCTTTTTATCCTGCACATTCGGCAAGCAAGCTCTGCCTTTTCGAGCCATTCAGGTAGAGGTTATCTCGTAGCTGTACCATCTTATTCAGGAACCAGATTCAGGTCAAACGACTGTGTTTGCCATATCTTAAATGTTGAAATAGCTTGTATGATAAAAGCATACAAAGATCAAATTTCCATGTACACACACGCAGCCTACTCGCAAAACTCTCACCTTGTAGGAAAACTCAATTGTTTTTAGTTTTATAGCAGTTCAATGGACCCCTTATCAGGTTTTCGATTTGCGGAGCATAGCAATGGGTTATCGTATGCAATCCATTCCACTCAGTAAAACTTGAACCAGTTTGTTTTGTCCGCTTTTTATCTTGATTGGATAATCCTTTGAGTTTCACAATCCGTAATTTATTTTGCCTCTTCCGCACCTCTAGTGAGCAAGCTCCTTGATTCTACTTATATAAAAATAGAAAACTAAAAGTTGGTAAACCATTTTGGTTTGCCATAAAGAAATAAAAACAAAAACGTAAGAAAAAAAAAACTAAAAAAAAGAGGCCAAAAGGTTATCATTCCTAAATGTAGGTGAAGAAAAAGGGTTTAGTCATGAGTGACACCTGTGAACCAATCAAAAATGACACCTGTGAACCAATCAAAAATGACACCTGTGAACCAATCAAAAATCAAAAAACAATTCTAAAATGAATTCCATTGTCTCAAAAAAAAAAAAAAGAAAAAAAAGAGAGACGACCAGGTAAAGGAACCAGCCGATGAAATAATTTTATCTGCTCTCCTATGCCTTAAATCATAAATACCACAGAGAATCGAAAGAATTACTATTCAGTCAGTGGTACACGCTTAGGCGATCATATATCTTTCGATACATGACTGACGAGGCAGATTTTTTTTTCCCGCAGTTGGTTGCTATTTCTTTCTGCGGTAGACCAATTGCCATCCAAGGCTATAGAACCCGGTCTGTCCCGCTATTTACCCATAGCTGGAGGGGGGAAGAAGAAGAGGATTCATACCTTTCCCAAGGGTATTAGCACGGGAAAGGTATGAAAGAATTACTTTACAAAGAGATATTTACAAGGATTCTTCTCTCTCTCTCTCTCTCTCTCTCTCTCTCTCATTATTATATGCTAAAGGACTTCGACATTCAACACGAGAACTTTCTCATATGAACTTAGGAGGACTTCTTTATTGTATATTTTATTTTGAGATATGAATTTTTATCGGTACATGATATCTTTGTATGCATTTTTAAATGGCCCAAAAAATTGCTGTATATTTGGATTAAGGACGTTATTCGAAGAAAATCACTTGTAAACACATAACAAACACCCAAGTAAACCCCTAGAAATTAATGCTTAAATTTTCTAAATGACTTCGAAACATTTAAGTATTGGATTTTTAATTTACATTTTTCGTCTATAATAGCGGTTTGACGAGTGAATGTGACAATGTTTTAAAAATGTCTAAACAATTTATTTATATACAGAAATTAATTTTTCTTCTAATTCGGATTTGCGTTAGAAAATCACACTTATTATAAAACCCAGGTTGTATGTGTGTGTGTGTGTGTCTGTCTGTCTTTACGTTTATATATTGGATCGGATTTCCTACATTTTTCAACCGATTTCAACAAAACTTCACAGGACTATGTAAAATTACCTTGCGGTGGTTCTAACAGCGCCAAAAATTGTAAAAACACAATTGTTTTTGCACGAAATCAATTTGAAAACACAATTAAGAGGCATCGCGAGAATGAAAGGGGGACAGCTCATATTGAGTTATACTTATTATAAAACCCAGGTTGTTTGTGTGTGTGTGTGTGTGTTCGTTTATATATGGGATCGGATTTCCTACATTTTTCAACCGATTTCAACAAAACTTCACCTTTTTTGGCAGGTAGTGCTTCTTATTGTCTTGCACACTTTTTTTTTCTTTATTTTTACATTCAGAATGCTTTAAATAATCCATTTACAAGACAATTGTTTATAATAAAATTGAAAAATTCTATTCAATCGGTAGACTCATAACGATTGAAAACAATGTTTTTGTTTGAGTTTGACCAATTCTAAAAAAAAACAAAAAAACAAAAAACAAAAAAAACTAGTTAAGACATGCGTGTCCGTCAACCTTAAACAATAATCTTTGTCAATTTTATTTTTCAGTTTTTATGATGGTCGATACTTGATCTATCTCTTACTGTTACACGCCGGTCTATACTGCTCGTTATTAATAAAACAGAAATTTAACTTCAAAGAACACACTTATTTAAATTATTATAAGGAATACTTCAGTTTTTACTATTCTGAATATTTTGATTCCTACGGTCGTTTCAGAATAAAATATGAAGTATTTTAGTTCAAGGAAAACAAATTGTTCCAACTTTTAAGCTTTAATTATATCAATTGCAGACTTGAAATATGGCGGAAATCAATACGTCAGTGAAATACGTCTACACGGTGCATACGGTGCTAAAACTCCAAATGGAATTCATTTGACATTTGGCAGTTCATACCGTATGGTTGATCCTAACGAATATTTTGCTTTTGAATATGAACAAAGCACACCTTTCCGGAACATAATTCGTCTTATAAAGCCACTTGACAGAGACGTGAGTATTTAAAAATTTTTTTTTTACTTTTTGATGAATAAACTGTTGTTGTGTATGTTAATAAGAATGGACCATTTGTAGATGTCTGTTATTGACATAACCACACGATTTATATTTAACGTAAAATATCACAAAATATGAAAGAGCAAAAAGGAATAAAAACGGTTTTTATAACATCAACATTTATATTTAGTTTTTGTGTGTACATGCGCAGAGGTTTTTTTTATTATGTCCCTTTGATTTAAAGATTTTTATCTGAGCTCACAAATGTTGAATGAATTATAAAGCTGAGAAATGCTGAATAAACTTTTTGCTTTAGAAGAGTATTTCAAAGAGAAAAGTTCTTGTTGCTTGTTTGGAAATGTTCTGTATGTTTGTAATGTAGGTTGGAAAAGTTCGTACGTGGTCGAGACGAGTGAGTGAGCAAGCTCGTGTCTGCTATTTATACGTGACACGTGACAGAATCACGGAGAATTGACGGGAAAAACTGGTCACGCTCTGGAAAAAATATTTGTACGTGGGTGGATTGCAACGCCCACTTGTGTGTATTGACCAATTAGAAGCTGATATTTCCTGAAAATCTGTATGAAGCTGGGTAAGCTTCTGATCCTCTTTTGGTACAGATTTGTACAAAATTCAACGTTGATAATAAAATGGTAACGGGATGCTAAACTGTAGACATTTAATATTGGCTCCTATTGCTCAAAAGGTTTCAAAGGTAGTTCGAATTTTTGTACCATTGAAAAAAAAGAAAAGAAAATGTTATTATTATTCCATAAATATTTGGTCTGTTGTAATTTTTTTACGAGGAATCTGCAGAGTAAAGGAAATTTTTAGCATCCCGCTACCACTTTCTTAACAGTGTTGATTTTTGTGCAAATCTGTGCATAAAGCGGATCACAGAGCTTATTCACCTTCATATACATTTTCAGAAAACCTCAACTTCTGATTAGTCAATAAACACACAAGTGGGCGTTGCAATCCATCCACGTCTTTTCTCCAGCGCGTGACCAAATCAAATTTTCCCGCCAGAAATTAGAAATGCTTCCAGGAGCCTACCACGTGTTTACGTTGATTATAAATATCAGACACAAGTTCGTTTCTATACTCTACATTTTCTACTCTACTTTTTGTGATACGAAAATATAGCCGTAAAATAAATCGTGTTTCGGTCCCTTGCGGGCGGACGCTATGAAACATATTCACACATGTACACATACACGTATGTATGAAACTTTCTAAACTTCATTAAAGAACATTACAAACAGACGTACACGAATTTTCAACTAATCAACACATATGCGAACTTTCAACAGTTTCAGTCGGTAAGGAAAGCTTATAGAATAATATTTTGGCTTATGAATTGAATATATTTCATCTGATCTTCCATAAAATGTAGTTCTTAATGATATTTTATTTCTTCTTACCAACAGGGTCCCACAGATTCTGTTATGGATGATACAATCATTGATCATTTTCGGCTAAAATGTGTTCCTTACAAGAATAATACTTCGGAAGTAAGTCATTTCTCTTTTTTTTTCTGAATTCCATTAAGATGCCAATAGTTTTCAGCCATGTCCTGTCTATGTGCATTCTGTCTTACATTTAATAATGGTCTTTTTTTCTGCTTTCTTTTATTATTACCTTTCAAAATGTTCTTTTAATTTTCTAATGCTGCCATCAACACCGTGATGTATGCGGTTCTTCCGATGTTTTGTACCATAATGCGGAAACATGGAAGATGTTATGAAACTGATTCTACATTTTTTTAATCTTTAAACAGAAAACTAAGTTGAGCATCCAACTTGGCAGAGGGTTAGAAATTGATACTTTCTTCCTAAGCAGAAACTGCAGATATTCTGATCTTATTAAAAAAAACAAAAAACAAAAGAAAAAGGTACCGATACGCACATAAAGAACTCTGTCATTTTATTATAACGAGCGCATGGTTGCAAAGGAAAGGAACAAACAAGGATTAAAACTTCAATGTATATTGGTCAAAATACAGAATACATAGTTGTGTAAAAGGTGGAAAAAATTGTTATATATGTAGTTCCTTAGTTGCTAATGGTAAGGCAAGTGATTAGGTCTAAGGGTGTTGTTGGTATTGACCGATTTCTTGGGTTGGTTGGCCAAGGTCATGGTTGGTGTCAGGAGAGAGGCCTGGAATGGATTAGTGGAGCCAAGTGGACTGTCATTGGTGGGGGTTGACGTACACCTTTCTTCATGGTTGGAATTGACATCTGTGCACTATTTAATGGGCTGGTGGTCATGTGGTCATGTGATCAGGCTGAGACGTTGAAGCCAAATTGCCTGGTATGGTGCATTGGTGGGTTGATCGAACAAGGTTACTGTGGTGGACTGATTTATAGCAAGGCCTGGCAAAGTACATTGGCGGGTTGGTTGCCGAGGTTACGGTGGTGGCTATGAGGAGGCCTGGAGTGGTTGGCAAAGCTACAAATCTGACTTTGCCGATACAAGTGTGTAAGCATAATGAATTAGAAGTCACAGATCTAACTCTGCAAATACAGAGGATGCGAGTGTGAAGAGTTTTAGAGAAATCATGAATGACTTTGTGAAGAGTCGGGAGAAGCCATGATACCAATACAAGGGTGTGATGGCGGGTTGGTAGAAGAATGTCTCTGTTGAATTTTGGTTGAATAGGGAAATCAGCGAAAATGAGGTCACAGTAGTGACAATGAGGGAGGCCTGGAACTGGATAGTGAAGACAAGGATTAGAAATCATGATGGTGGCATTAGGTGACTACTGGATCTGGAGTTGAAGATGGCCTGTCACCTGCATTTTGCATGTAAAGAGTTGGGTGCAATTAGTGAAGCTTGGGCATGATCATTACGAGAGAGGCGATCTATGTCAACAGATGGTCTCCTGGTCTGCTACTGTGTCAGTTGCTTACGACGGACTTTCTTTTAAGCAAATCTAGTGGTACCCAAGTTCATCATTTTTTGGCGTGAATGTTTGTGATATACTACTATTTTTTTTTTTGTCGGGATTTGTTTTGTGAACTGGATATGATGCTCAGAGCTCCTGAACAGAAAACATTTTGTGTTTTGCTTTTCAGCGTTCACATCTGATTGATATGTAGATTGAATCTGAAAGAGACCTAATTGCAGTGGAGTATAACTTGTATTAAAATAATACACTCAACTTTGTTTTGTTCATACAAGTATAGGATTGGTGTATACAGACTAAATTCCACTAACAAAAAAATACTATTCTTAAAAGAGTGCTCAATACAGAGTACAGCAAATATTATTTATTCGAAAATGATAACATAAATATGTTATAAAATTACTACGAAAATAGCCACTTTGTTTAAACACTTCCGGTGTCTTATCAAATGATGGTGTTGAATGTAGAATAAAGGTTTTTTCCCTTTATTCTACATTCAATACCATCATTTGATAAGACACCGGAAGTGTTTAAACAAAATGGCTATTTTCGTAGTAATTTTATAACATATTTATGTTATCATTTTCGAATATTTCAATTTCAATTAAAAGGTGCAATTATAGCATTTTTTCGGATTTCATCTCTATTTTCGTTGTCCTCTTATTACCGAGAAGTAAAAACAAGAACAAAATCTATTTCCATATCTGAGGATATCTGTAGGAACAGACGAAAGCTTGTAAAAAATTAAAAAGACCTTATGCAACTGGAATTTAAAAACAGGGATTATATCATTCATATACAGGTTCGGGGTTGGTGTATCTTATTTATATTGTTTGCGAAGATGTATTCTCGCCATTTAAATCATATATATATATTTGGACTTGTAATTTTTAAATCTAAACTTAATATCATATTCTAATGGGGAGTGTATATTATAGAATTTAAATAAAATATATTCATTGATACAGGATTAAATGAGGCCAAACATTGCAGTTATTTATTTTAGAAGCATAAAAATGGCAAAACATAACATTTGAATATATAACAGATTCTCAAATGCTTGATTGAAAATATTTTCTGTTAAATTCTCTACATACAACGTATGTTAAAATACACAAGGCGCTCGTAGTGACCGTTATTAATGACGCAGAATGGAATGTAAACAGATGTGTTTCACATCGGAAGTAGCATTGTGTTGTGAGCATGGTTTTATTTAACTTTATGTATTTTTGATCTTGACCAGATCCAACTCGATGCCAGTTGACCTATGGTCTGGAAACGATATGAAGAACTTTTTAGGTTCCAGCCATTGATGGCCACCTTCAAAATGAAGGAAAAGATTTGACCGTTCAATGAATCCACGGTACCCGACCTCAATAGGTAGCACATGACATGTTCATCCCTTTTCCATACAGTCGGATCGCAGCGGGTTTTTTTGCTTCTCCTGTTCTCCTCCCTGTCCTCCTTCCATAGAACTGTTAATTCTACTATGAAGGACACACTTCTTTGTATCAAACCACGCTACAATGGCGTGCGTCTGTCTGAATGATGTGTACTGGAAATTGCAGAGGTGTTCTAAGATCAACTAACAACCTCCTCCAATCATGGGCTCCCCTCAGTAGTGCCATGTTGGGAATTATTTGAGTCTTTCGTGCAGGGCATTCATCTTCCTTTTGAAAACGGATTTTAGGTTCTCTGGCCTTTACAGGCTGTTTGTTGGTTGCTTCATACTGTGTACTGACTAAAACTATGAACACTTCCAACACTTTGTTATGATGTCAAATTTACATCTCTAGTAATTATGGACATGCAGAGGGCATGTGATGTAAAGTGCCTCAATCACATTGACATAATGCACATACATTAGTGTCAGTGCACCCCCACAGTTTGAGGTTGGTGGCATTTGGTAGGAGATCATAGGTGGATCATAGGAGGAATGATATTGCCAATGGCTACATTGCAATCAAGGTATTCTATGTTAGCTCCATTGGGTCAATATCATTCCATGTCATCCAAGCATATTGTTTGGACTGAGAAACAGCAGTAGCTGTTTGCTGACGTTCCTTGAAATTCCTGATTTCTTCACTCACCATGTCTCATTTACCTTTTGGACCCTGTTTGGAGAAAAATTGGTTGCCCTGCCGCCCAAGCTAGCTCGATTAGTTTGGGTGATTCTCATAATCTCCTTGGTTCGCAGGCTGAATTCTGCTTCTTGGGTGGCTTCCACTGCCAACCATTTGGTGCCAGTTTTGATATTTGGCCGTAACCTGTGGACAAACTCATCACCCGAGTCCCTCATCATCATGTGAAGGGATACATTTCCAACCTTGAAGTCCTTCACTAGTGAGAAGATAGGAAGTTGTAGGTTTCTGGGATTAATATACAGTCCCACTGTGGAGAAGCGGGGGGCGGGGACTCCCAGCCGGTAGTTGTTGATACACTGTTGAAACTGCTGAATGCAAGACAGAGTAATCTCATACACTTGCAACGGCCACAGAAGCCAGGTTAACAAACATGTTGGTAGCACCAAGCCTTCAGTTTGCCAGAGAGATGGGTTCTGTTAATGGATTCAAGTCCCTCTAGTGCCACTTTCTGCACCTCTTTACTTTGGTGACGATCACTCAGTAGAATTTCATACAGCTGTCCGAGGCTCTTCACTGGCTTCTATTTGACTGTTGGGATCATGTCACCCCCACAACGCAGAAGTGAATCTCCCTGACAGAACCTCTGAGTAATGATATGCTCCAGTTTTTCTTGGGCTTAGCCTTTATTCTTGCCCATGTGAAGAGCTTGTGGGTATCACTGCAGCACTTCATCAGCACCAACCTTAGACGGGACCAGAATAGTGATGTCATCCATGAACGCCCTGGAAGAAGGAAGGGTCATTTGTTCCTTAGTCATCACTCCCTTTGCTGTGTCTGCTGCACCCCGTAATATGAGTTCCGTGGATAAAATAATATTCCATAGAAATAATAGCTAAAAGTAATTTCAAAAGCAAACATAAAACAAGACTCAATTGAAAATTTGAATATACATTCTTTTTTTCCTTGCAGTATTGGTACGATGTCAGTTTGCTTATACATGATATTAATGACAATGTTCCTCAGATGGCCAAGGATAACGTATATTCTGCTGTTGTAAATGAGGTGAGTAATATTTTAAATTCTTAATATTATCATATTTCAATGGCATTTATTATCAGTGAAAATATTGATATCAGTCAGTTATGTGCCATGTGCGATACACACCTTGGCGATCATGTATGTTTTGATACATGACTAACGAGGCAGATTTTTTTCCTGCAGTAGGATGCCATTTCTTTCTGCAGTAGACCAGTTGCCATCCAAGGCTATAGAACTCAGTCTGTCCTGCTGTTTACTCATAGCTGTTGGGGGGGGTTTAGAAGAAGAGGATTCATACCTTTCCCAAGGGTATTAGCACGTAAATGAATAAAATGGATTCGATTAGAATTTGAACTCGGCTCTCCGATTACTTAATCTCAGCCGCTATCCATTACTCCACATTTTTATTTCTCTAATGTCAAAATGCATGAAATATCTAGCACTTTACTCTTGATTTCTCTTTCATTTTTTTCCTTTTTCTTTGTTGCCTTGACATTTTACAAACACATCAAACTTTTATATTTCATTTCAGTTAAGTCCATAATTTTCCTCCACCACATACTTTGAGGAAAGAGAAACTTTGATTTATTCATTTGTCTAGACAATGCAATAAGTGAGTCACTGCTTAACCCAATATGCAAGAAAAGCGTTGTAAAGTAGCTAGAACTCGTTCAGCACTCTACCAGATGGCCTGGCTCATAGCCTTAAATAGTCTGCGATTAAGGACTTCAGTACTCTTCCAGATGGCCTGGCTTATGACTTTAAATAGTCTATGATTGAGGACTTCAATAGTTAATTAATAAGTTGATACTAAGCTGATTAATATTCGGACTGATTTTACTTCGTTTGGCTATACAGCATTTAACCCTCCTCTATTCTTTGTAAGTTGTCTTGTTAATTGTTTTATAACTTATCGTTCTGTGTTTTTTTTTTGTATGTATCCATTAGCATCGGATACTGGTGCTGAATAAATATATTAAGCACTCATTCTTCTCTGTCCATCGTTTACCTTGAGGATACAACAAAAAGTGAAAACATTTATTTTTCTATTTCTTTGATCCATTTTTCTTTATGGTAATTACAGATATAAACATGAAAAAATAATTGAAGTTTATATGGTTTGGAATTGTTTGAGAAAAAAAAAGTAAATTATGAGTTCTTGTTTGTTATCTGATCTAAAGTCAGATCTAAAACATATTGATTGAGTTAAGAAGACTTTATCAATTTAAATAAACTCTTGTAATGTAATAAAGTGACTTTAATTTGTTATATTCTAACTGAATGAGATAAAACTAGTACACATACACATGCATGCAATTATGGAAATCGCTTAACCTATCAATTATCAAAAAGTGAGGAAATACACTTTCAAATATATTTATTGCTGAAAATTTTCAAACTGAAGTAATTTTTGATGAAGCAATTTTAAAAGTTAATTTGTTGACATTCGCTACATGTCAGCAACCAATCATTTTTGTGCAATTCTTGCCAGAAAATTGAAAGCTTTTAAAAAGAAACAGAACTTTGAATTATGCACTTTAATTTTTTTAACATTAAATCACGTGTGATTTATAATAAGAATTGGATAATAGTTTTTATGTAATTTATATTTAAGTAGTTTCAAAGAAAAGCGATACCTAAGGTTTAAAATGAATTTTTAAAAATGGGAAATATTTCTTTTAGCTTTTTAGTTTTAATTTCAACCTAGTAGGTTTAAATTTAATATTTCCAAAAAGTAATTTACTTTACTGTATTTTAAAATGAATTTAAATTGATTGGAATGATTTTTGTTTTTTGAATTCTTAAAAATCACAAACATTTTCCATATTTTAAAATCTGTCAACAACTTAATTCTCGTTATTAAAAAGTCTTTTAAAAATAAAATATACTTTTCTGAAATTTTATGTGAGGAAGATTTGCTGATTTAAAGTTTAATTAATCTGATTTGAAACAAATATTAACTTGTTATTAGTTTAAAATATCACAGAAAATCATTTTTAACATGACAGTGGGTATTTTTATGAGGTGTTGATAACTCCCTTGGAAGACGTAGTTTAGAAATTTTTTCGAAGTGGGGACAATTACTCTAGCAGTTACTTGAAAGTAAAAACGAATGTGAAAGCCTCTTATTTTTATTTACTCAGTAATTTTAGAAATTTAGGAAAATATTCTAAGTAATCTAATCTACTTTGGTTTTATAGTCTCACTTAGAAAAGCTCTCGTTGAGGAAATGTTAGAAAGTTACCAATAAATTTTAAATTTACTATAATTAGTGCTCTTATTTTCTGATATTGTGTATAGACATCAGTATTTACAAAAATGAACACACACAAAAAAAATGTATGTCCATATTTACAAAAATTGGTACTTTGATACATGTACAAAAAATTCTGAATTCTTTTAAAAATTCTGCAGGGATTTTTACATTTATGATAAGTAAATAAAATGTTTATTTAATAACAATATCACTTATCCACTAGAATTAATGCAGATTTTTAAGATTCAAAATTTTACAAATTATTATAATTAAAATTAAAAAAAATGAAAACAATTCTTGCAAAAAATGATTATTTATTGAAAAAAATTAGTGTCCATAATATATCTTATACCTAAAAACATTAATAACTTTTCTACTTATTGCTTTAGTTTTATTGCATTTTTTAAATTTTACAATTCAGAGCAGCTTTTTGTAAGAGGGGATCTTGTTTGACAAAAAAAAAAAAAAAAAATTGATGTTATAGATTCTTCAAGGTCTGGTCTTTATAATTAATATAAACATTAAGTCTTACAAAATGAATTCCACAAAACTTAAATAAGTGAAGAGTAGCAGACAAGTAATCTCCAAGAATGAAATATAATAGAAATCTTCCTGAATGAACGAGGTGTTTTAAAAAGTTTAATTTTGGGGAAAGGAAAGCACTAGATAGACAAAAGTTTTAAATAAATATATCAAACTAATTTTCGAATGAAAACAAAAAATCCCGATGAACGTTTGGTCAATTATTATGCCGTACCTAAATGAATGATAATACAAAGCTTAGTTAATTATTGCAGCTTTATATTCTGAAGACAAATTTTTTTTATTTATTATTCTTTATTCTTTGCTTTCAAAAGACTCGGATGATTGACTCAGCTTCTGAGATGACCAGATTAAAAACTGAAATTGTTGATAATGGTTTCCCTGAATAAAGTCAGTTTGCTTTTTGAGGAAAGATTCTTCATTAAAGACACATTAAACAAGAAAATTTCAAAATTGTACTTTTGCATTTTATGTTTTTTCAAAATCTTTCTCATTCACTTTAAAAAGATAAGACCCCAAATCCGACTAATTGTATTCAGATATACTGGAAATGGTAAGCTTATAGCGATCATCATCATCGCACACACACACACAAACACCCTTACAAATTCAAATCTTTAACAGCATTCATTCATTGGACAGAAAGCAACGCTACTATCTGAAGAGACAATTTTGAAATCGCTATATTTTCATATAGTAAATTTTGTGCACTTTTGGGAGAATTGTCCCCCAGAAGTCTCCCCAAAACTCAGGCACTGACTGGTCAGTATCAATCAATCAGATTCTTTGCATGTAGAGAATGATTTTTCCCGCGCAGATTCCTAATTCGATGACTACCTATACAAACAGAACAAAAGAGGACCAACACCAATGAGACTTCGACTGCTACTGGAATCCACGTCAGTCGAAGACACGCGTCCATCTTCTCACTCACTCTCAAATTACATATTCTATCACACTTACATAATTTTCCTTTTGCACGGGAGAACTGTCTAAAACATTTATAACAGACTAACAACTCTTTCATTTCCTTTTCAGAGAACATTGATAAACTTTTATAGTTAAAGAGAGACTACTCTCGTCTGACTCATTGCATGCTTATTTTTCGTATATATTCTTTATTGTACGCTTTGTTGAATACAATTTATATATATATATATATATATATATATATATATATATATATATATATATATATATGATACCTTTGCCTTGTCCCTTGTTCTTATATCAGTTTGGGTTCCTAAACAAAAATTAAATAAATGTGGTGAGAGGCCTAGACACGCTATATCTCATTGACAACTCCGACGTTCATTTGGAATTCCGCCACAAGCTTATGTAAGGAATATGACAGGATATCCAAGAGATTTCTCTAAATATTATTCTGCTTAGATTCTTATTTACTCTCAAACCTTCAATATTGGATTATAAATGTTATTAAAGTAATGGTCATTCAGTTACATATTTCGTAAATCATTTTGAAAAGTGTTCTCATTATGAAAACAGTTCTATTTAATGACCAACAATAATAGAATCTCATAACTTTACCAGTCACTTTTAATCTTAAAATTCAGAAATGTTATATCGCAAGCTGTTGGGATGAATAAAACGAATGAAAATAAAAGACGAGTGTATTTTAACACATGATAAAACCAACTTTATTCATTTAATTGTCTAAGAACAGCAAGAATTTGTTGGGATTGCAATCAGTTTGTCACTATGTTCTATACAAAAGTTCTGCCCTCGTCTTGCAGACAAGGGACGTAACTCTAATTGTATTTTGGGCTATTTATAGGGGAAGGGAATTATCTTCCCCTAACATATGTATATATCCAAATATATTTTAAAATAATAAAGATCTATAATGAAATATTAGTAGGTTGGCATAATGGTGCATTTTGAAAAATATTTTTATATTTTCTTGGTTTGTTAATGTTATTGTGGTTCTTGTTGGAAAAATGTCTCTATATGCAAAAGTGAAAGGGAAATGACTATATTCATCAATGATAGTCAATAAATATTTGTTCCTCCTCAGTTTGAAGGAAGTGGTCCCTTGAAATCTATATTCAATCTTTTGAAGGTTTGAGTGGCTTTGATACCAATGATTCCATATTTTATCTGCCCCAGGGTCATACTATTTGGATCTAGATTTTTTTAGTTTTAGTATCCTGTCCATATGAAGTAAAAATAGTCATGAATAGAATGGTGTAAACTATAATTAGTTAAATGTATTCAGTAGTATGTCTCTAGTAGTTTAGTCTTCAAGGTCAGGATTAGTTTAGCCTCTATCTGTATCGACTGCTATTTATATAGCGGGGAGTTGCATATGAATACAACATACCACAGATCCAAGCATTGGCACACAATTGACTACGCCATCACCAGAAAGAAAGACATCCAGAAGACAAACACTAAGAGAAGCAGATTGCTGAACTGACTTTTGTTTGCTTTGCTCCGAATTGAAGTTCCATATCTGAAGGTGCAGACACTCGCATGGCACAAAGCCACAAAGAAAATCGATGTTGAGAAGCTAAAAGAAGCAAGCAATAGACTCCATATAAATAGCAGTTGATACAGCTGGAAGCTAAACTAATCCAGGCCTTAAAGACTAAACTACTAAAGAAGTAGTAGTGAATACTTCTAACTAATTATAGTTTACAACAGACTGCATCCATTGTGACGAAAGACATGACTTACCTCAGAATTCGAAACGAGCGCGAACGTGTCTTGCCTGGAAAGTGATGACAAAAAGAAATATGGCCGCTATTGAAGACACAATTCATGCGCGCCTATCTCGTCCAAAATGAGACGATATTTGCACACATGCAAATTTTGGCCATATTGGAATAGCATAAAAAGTGGGATGCCAGCAGCACGACGGAACTGAAGTCGTTCGGCGGACAGCGTGCAATAGATTTGGACGTACGGATTGACAGACGGACAAAGAGGACGTCGAAGTAGGCGCGGCTGAGCTGGTGTTTGTTTCACAACTGACCAGTGTAACGGCTGAGAAAGGGAGGCACGCAATCCATTTCCTTGAGGCGAAAGAAAAAATAGCTGGCCTGCTGGCGAGCACCGCACTGCACTTTTTGACCCCCTCTCTCATCACCATTTTTTTCTACACATGTCACTTAATGGATGCTCCTAAGTTGAAACATCGTATTCGCAATGGTTAGGTTATGCTTTAGACAGAAGGAGATCAGAAGAAGTCCATTTGAATTTGCACGCCCAGTGCCATGCTTTCCAAACACATAACCCCATGCGTCACAGTTAGACCTGACTCAATCATTGAAATCATGAAAGACAATCAGTTTGTCTTCTTTTGGGGTCTTACATACAGCTTCCGTCAGCTGGAGATAGAACGTTTCTTTGTTCTCGTTTGTATTGGTCATTGTTGGGACAGACACACTGACAATTGTCAGGTAATGGTTGCCTTGAAGAAGAATTCTCATCAACATCATTCTGTCATTGACACCACCACGAAGAGACGTGAGGCTTTTTACCAAAGTGTTTTTGATTGCAAAAACCAACTCCTGAATCCCGTCCTGGGTATGATGATAAATTACATCCGCGTCCAGGGTAAGACAATAAACTACACCCGCGTCCAGGGTAAGACAATAAACTACGTCCAACAGCAAAGCCTCTGATCAGGAGGTTTTGAGCAGTGTGGAACTATAGTCCTGGTGTTCACTGATTAATTGATGGTGTTCCCTGCTCCTCCCTGATACGGGGTGGTAGCACCTGTTAGGGTCCCAGCTATGGGTAAATAGTTAACCCCCGAACAGGGGTTAAAACACTATTAAATTGAAAAAATAGGTTTTAATACCAGAAATACTTTGTAAAAAAAATTGTTGGCATTAAATAACCCATTGAAGTTGATATGCCATAAACCAAACCAACTCCTGAATCATGACTGTTATATTCTGTGCTAAGGGAATAAATACATAACACCAGGTGGATACTAGAAGAAAGGTTTATTGTACACAACCAGTACAATATGAAATACGGTACAGTTATGCACACAGGTCAATCTAGTAGTGAATGCCACGACTTGGAAGGTCAGACATGCTTGCGTCGTCTCGCTCTCACTCTTCCCCAATCTCTCGTAGACAGTTGACTTTATAGGCACTTACTACCTATAGTGTAATTACTCATGGGTGTGACTGATTATTCCATGACATCAATGACAATGGTCTTCCTCTTTGCCAGACTAGAAGAAAGTGTACCAATCTATCAACTGTCTCTCACTTGACAAATTGTCTCACTCAGGGCAGCAATGTTAATGTTGTACATGGCAAGCTCCTTGTGAACTACAGATACTCTTCTCTCAAGCATTTGACCACATTGTTGAATACCTAGAGATCTGAGGCTAGCTGCCAAGAAGGGATATTTGAGATAGGCAATGTTTACACCACCTTTTCTAGGCCCCTTGCCATTAGGGGGTGATGTAATGAATATGCATACACCTGGGTTCCCCCTAATAGTAATATGATTGGCTGGTGTCAGCTATAAATACAGACTGATGTGGAGGTATATGAGGACCCCTATTGATTACGCCTATTGTCTACGCCTATTGCCTACCACTAGGACGAGGACCAGTCCATTATGGTTACCTGCTAGATTGTCCTACCCAGTTACAGTAGTCAACAACCACTTTGCTACTTCGAACAAATATATCCCTTTCCGGGACATATCAAGGGGAAGCAGGGCTGAACCTGAAGAGAGCTGGAGTGCTGCCTTGTCCTGCCTCCATCTCATTTGAGTGGAAACTTGATCCAGAGGACCTATGTGCAGGCTTGAGAATGCCAGTACCATTCTGTGCCTGTCGTTTCACCCCTTCCCCATTTCCATAGAACTTGTGATATGGTGGTGAATAGGTACTAGGTGCCTTGCACATGTTGGTGTGGTTGCAATGGTTTGCACTGAGCCACACAAACCACTCTTCCTACTCCTACAATCCCAGGACTCAAGCTGTCAACATCCACCAGGCAATAGAGAATTTTCTGTCAGAGTGAACTCCCTTAGCTTTACACACTCTCCTGTTGCCAAAAAGACAATGGATAATAATATTATCTCCTATCTTACAGCAGTAAGGGTTATCCACTGCTGACCTGATACTGTTTTTGTTTAAGGGTTCACTATTTGAACCCTTTATTTCACTCACTGGGGTAGACTGTTCTCATTCCCCGTGCTATGTCTAATGGATGTCAGTTATCAGTTATCTCCTGTTAATTCTCCTCGCCAAGTCCTCCACCGTCTTAACCAGGTATTGAACTCACACTCTTTTGGTCCTGCCTGGATCTAACTAATACCATTATCCACTATGCCATGTGTTAGTTCTTTTAGACATGGCACGTGGAACTAGAACAGTCTACCCCAGTGAGCGAAATAAAGGGTTCAATTCGATATTCCAACCACCAGAAGAAGGCCGGAGCGTACAACAGCCAAAATTTTGTAATAAATATGGCGACAAAAATTAGGACAATAGTCCAAATAATGTAAATAGTGTACATAATACCTCATCTCAGAAATATAGACAGATACATAATGATTACAAGTTGAACATTGTCCAATATTTGCCTTTTCTTATTGTATATCTTCATTTTGAATTTGAAATTTTCTTTAAAACATTTTTAGTTCAGTTCTAGTACAAATTCATGATACTTACATGATATCTCCGTGATCCATTTATGAGTCATGTAGAAAATGTCATTCGTTAATTTTACTCTAGTTTTTGGTATTTCTTTAAAGAAAAAAAAGGCTGTTAAAATCTTCTTCCATGCATGACATTTTGAGGTGTAACAATTTTCCGCTCCTCATCTTTAACTCTTTTATCTTTTAATATAATTCTTCAAAATATTGGTTTTATTATAGTTAACTCCTGTTGGTGCCACTTTGCCAATAAAAGTATCTGTGACAGATAAGGATTCCGGAAACAACAGACAACTTACCTACAAGATTTCAACGGCTAATGGCTCCACGGTCAGTCTGAATTTGAATATAATCTTTTTTATATAAACATTTTTTATGGATACCATTATTTGGGACTAAGACTTGTTTAATTTAAATTTAATCAATCTTCAGTTGATTTTTCATTATTTATTTCACTTTTGAAAAGGATATAAAATTGTCAGAGCATAAGAATGACATTCACTGTTTAAAAATAAATGTACAAAAGATAATCAGTTTTATCATTTGCATAATTGTAATTAGTTTTGAAGGTATTTACACATTTTTATGATTATAATTTTTGTTATCATACATATTTTGCTTTACATTTGTACAGGTATGAATATTTATAGTGGCATAAATATTTATATTTATGCAGGTATGAATATTTATATTTGTACAGGTATGAATATTTATTTGTACAGGTATGAATATTTATATTTATACTGGCATGAATATTTATATTTATTCTGGCATGAATATTTATATTTGTATAGGTATGAATATTTATATTTGTACAGGTATGAATATTTATATTTATACTGGCATGAATATTTGTATTTGTAAAGGTATGAATATTTATATTTGTTCAGGTATGAATATTTATATTGGCATGAATATTTATATTTGTATAGGTATGAATATTTATATTTGTACAGGTATGAATATTTATATTTATACTGGCATGAATATTTGTATTTGTACAGGTATGAATATTTATATTTCTACAGGTATGAATATTTATATTTATATTGGCATGAATATTTATATTTGTACAGGTATGAATATTTATATTTGTACAGGTATGAATATTTATATTTATACTGGCAGGAATATTTATATTTGTACAGGTATGAATATTTATATTTGTACAGGTATGAATATTTATATTTATATTGGCATGAATATTTATATTTGTACAGGTATGAATATTTATATTTGTACAGGTATGAATATTTATATTTATACTGGCATGAATATTTGTATTTGTAAAGGTATGAATATTTATATTTGTACAGGTATGAATATTTATATTGGCATGAATATTTATATTTGTACAGGTATGAATATTTATATTTGTACAGGCATGAATATTTATATTTATACTGGCATGAATATTTATATTTGTACAGGTATGAATATTTATATTTGTACAGGTATGAATATTTATACAGGTATAATAATAAACAATATATAGTGTGAAAACTATTGATAAGCTATTCTTTTCTAGTAAAACACTGACATTTTTCTACATAAGTTAGCAATAAAGTTTGTACTGAAATCTTTGTTTGCAGCATTTTTCTACAACCTTTCCTTATTCTTCATCTGTTATGATGACCATTGTGTCATTCATTAGTTTGTTACTTTAATCCTGTATTGAGTGAAAAAATGTTTAAACTAATTAAGTAGGCGATAATAATAATTTGTCAAATGACTGTTTTTGATAGCGTCCTAACTTGTTACTGATGATGAAGAAATCAATGGTTGCATTATTATTATTTTATTCCCTCACAAAGATTTTTAGACGAGGCTTTTGGAATGTAATTAAAAGTTGCTGAATAACACAAAAAGACTGAAATAAATGTTAGTAAAATTAAAAGATATATTTAATTTGAATTAAATTAATTTTCAACACATTTGAGAATAAAACAATTTAACCCTAGAACACTAACCATAGGTATATAGTACCCAGCGCAAATTTTCCCATTTTTAATTACAATTTTCAGTACCTGATTTTCTTACCTAAATAATGTTTTTCAGTTCCTTAATGTTAACTCAAAGTACAAAGTTTGAAGTCTCTGCATGTAAAATATTTCAAATAAAGATTTATATTTAATATTTTTTTTGATATTTTCAAAATCGGGTATGATATACCCATGGTTAGTAGTGGTGTAACTTTAATTGATGGTTAGTGTTCTAGGGTTAAAGGAGTTAATAAAGGAACGAAATGGTGTAAACATTTATTTACCTCATGATTGAAAAAAAATTGCATTGCATTTTATCTCACTAAAGTAGACTGGGTTCAATAGGAAGTAATTAATTAAATCAACCATTAGCTAGTTTATTCAACACCATTTTTAGTTCTGTTTAAAAATATAAAACAGAACTAAAAATGGTGTTGAAGATTCATTTACAAAAATTCTACATTAAGCAAATGTATTTATTTTTACTCAATTATGTTCTTATAGAAAAACGAATGTTCACATTCTATGGTTATAGTTGCAGAAAAATATTAGAAAGTATTTTGTAGAAACATCACTGTTTTGTTTCCACCTGAAAATGGAATAAATACTGCATCAGATTTTGTTTTCATATAGCAGAATAAATATTCATAGAAGATATGTAAGTATAGATAGGTAAAGGATTTTATCAGACATATTTGTAGATTGTTCAAAGTCGCCAAGGATTTTATAACTTATTTGCTAAAATGGTTGACCTAAATTAACATTTACCTCTACTTTAAAATGTTTATCCAGTAAAATGAAATAAAAAAAATAATAAACAAAAAAACTTAACTTAATTATATGCCTATCATTACAACATGTGCTTAGTGAAAGGTATATTTTGTACAAATAGCTATATCAGTACACTACATATATACATACATGTGTTGGAAAAATTCAGTCAGATGAAATCCTAACGGATGAAACACGTCACAAAAAAACTTTTCCAGTTTGTCATGTTTTTCTAAATATATGCATGTATATATTTATGTATGTATTTAATTTCAGGTTGCTGAGCATTTGGGGATCAATAATGAAACGGGGAAGGTCTACCTTCATAAGGCTTTTGATTATGAAAATCTAAGTGTTGACAATAGAAAATTTTCTTTTCCTGTCATTGTACACGTAAGTTATCAAATAATTAATGTAAGACATTTGGTAATTGCTATGTAGAAATAAAGTGTCGCTGCCGACACTGGAGTTTAAACACAGATCACCAGAGAGCAAACACAGGCGATCCCATTTTGAATAAGTAGATCATGTGATGGTAAATGTAATGTATATATTGGAATTAGCGTGGCGTCTAAGTGATCCCTATCTGGATTACTTCGGAAGTGTGCTTGTCAAAATCTCAGCTCCCAGGCAGAGAGGACCCCAGACGAGGCTATGCCGAAGGGCAGAGTCTCGTCTGGGGTGGTAGACTGATACCTGACCCCGTTTTTACGGGGTCTACGGGGAATTTTTGACCGGGCCTACCGGCTCGGATACCCCACAATAAACTTTGCCTTGTGCCACATCCGACCACGTGAGGCGGTAGGTGAATATCTCACTATCTGGATTATTTCGGAAGTGTGCTTGTCAAACTCTCTGTCCCTGGGCAGGGAGGAACCCAGACGAGTCTGTGCCGAAGGTTATAGTCTCGTTTGGGGTGGTAGACAGCTACTCGACCCCAGTTTTTACGAGGTCTAGGGTGATTTTTGCCCGAGTATATGGGCTTGGATACCACACTATAAACTTGGCCTTGTGCTGAATTCGGCTGTGTGGGTCGGCTAGTGAATATCCCGCTATATGGATTACTATTGGGATCACTATTTGTTGGTAACTATTCGAGTGAATATTATCGAGCAAGTACTATTAGTACAAGTGAGATTTGAAGGCGTCTGATACCAATATTGTTCAACAGCGTTACTATAGGTGTATTATTCATTAGGAAATCTCCTACCACAACAAGCATTACAAAAGTGACGAGTATTTGTTGACATCACAAAAGTGGCAGCGCGGATTATCTTACACTAGGATTCGTTCAATTTACCCGAGGAACAAATTAATCTGCAAAATATTCAACAAAGTACAGCGGAATGGGAGAATTAAATGTTATCATGGTTTAAGTGTTGCAGCAACAAAAACTACAGCAAAAACAATAATTGCAGCAACAAAAACAACATGAACAGTAATTACTTGTCGAGCGAGTATTATCGAGCAAGTACTATTAGTGCAAGTGTTATCCGAAGGCATCTGAAACCAGTATTGTCCAACAGTGTTACTATAGTTGTATCTGCGATTACAAAGTTTCTACTACAATGAGCATTACGAAAGTGTCAACGAATATTCGTTGACATTACAAAAGTGGCAAGACTTGTTAGTTGACATCACAAACGTCTGCAATTAGAGAAAGGTAATCTGTATCAGTGATCTATTTGGGCATCTACAAGATTTCTATTCTAAAATAGTAAATTCTAATTCTCTGAGTTTACCAATAGATGTTCTGAGTACATAGTCTAGAGCAGTGGTTCTCAACCTTTTTTTACCCATGGACCCCTTTTCCCTTCTTTTTATCTTGGTGGACCCCTTCATAGCTATTGGACATAAGAACAATTTTCTATTCTTCACTAATATAAATTTTAAGGTTTTAATTATCAAAGAAATAGTATACGATTAAGCTTTATTTTTAAATGAAAACTAATTTAATACAAATAAAATATTCTACTATAATTATAATAATAATTATTATTACTATTTTTAATTAATACAACAATTGTGTTTTGCCTGTGGACCCCCGGAAATATTACATGGACCCCTCGGGTCCATGTAGACCCCCGTTGAGAACCACTGGTCTAGAGTAATAACAAAATAGAATGGTACAAGTGTATCACCCTGGAGAAACCCTCCAATTTACATGAGGATTCCTTCAACTTACACAAGGATTTGTTCAATTTACACGAGGATAAAATTAATCTGCAAAATATTCAGCTGAGTACAGCGGAATGGAAGAATTAAAAGCTATCATGGTTCAAATGTTGCAGCAACAAAAACTACAACAAGAACAACAATTGCATCAACAAACACAACATGAACAGCAATACAATTACAACTACAAAAACAGAAGTTTTTTGAGTTGTTTACCAAAACGATTGAAGGAAAGACTTCAGATTCATTCACTCCAGATGCTGTTGCTAATTCAATCAGCGAATTTGGGTACAATCCAGATAAAGGATAACTTTTCAGGATTAATATAAAAGATACGAAGGGATCTTCAAAAGGGATTGTTCACAGGCATTTCTAGAATGAAATTCTTAATGCAGTGTTATATTTACTGGCCCAAAATGGATAAGGATATCGAAAATTTAGTGAAATCATGCAAAAGTTGTGTTCTAGCAGTGAAGTCACCGCCTATCAAAATTCAACCTTGGTTAAAAACTGATATGCCATGGCTCAGAATACATATAATTTTCACAGGACTGTTAAATATACTATCTATTGGTAGTCAATAATTGCACTAAATGACCAGAAATATTAAAATGTATAAGACCAACTACCGCGATAACGATAAATTTCCTACACGAGATTTTTGCAAGGTTCGGTGTTCCTGACTCTATCGTTTCAGATAACGGGACTCAGTTCACGTCTTGTGAATTTAAATTTTTTTTTTTTTGCAAATCATTGGCAATAGGACATATTACAACTGCCCTCTTATCACGCAAGAGCAAACGGACAAGCGGAACAGTTTGTCGATACGTTTAAAAAGGCACTAAAAAAAGTCAGAGGGAGAGGAGTCAGATGAAGTAATGATTCAGCAATTTCTGAGTGTTTACAGAATAATACCAAACCCAAATACCGTGTCCGGAATGTCGCCTACAGAGTTGATTGTTCGCCAGGAAGATTTTTTCATTATTTTTTCAATAAGTTATTACCAGAACGCAAAGCGAGAACATCAAGAAATAACAATACAAGTAGATACTTCAAACCTGGAGATAAGGTATTTTTAGGATTTATCAGCACAGAAAGGAATTCTGGGAAGATGGAGGTTATAAAAAAAGGGATCGGCAAAATGACATACATGATACAGGAACAAAGATGGGAACATAAGCGACACTTTAATCTATTAAAACGTAGATTCACTGATTTAAAAAGTTCCCCAAAAGAGGTATCAATGGAGATTCTGTATGACACGTTTAACAGACGCACACTATCAGAAATTGTTGAACGAAGGGTTTATGGCAAAAGAAAAAGAATGCAAACAGAATTTCTAACTATTGAACCAAAGCTGAAGAAGTATAGACTCCAGGGGAAGTCATCTCAAAGGGAAGGTGATATATAGGAATAAAGTGTCGCTGCCGATTCTGGAGTTTGAACACAGATCACCAGAGAGCAAACACAGGCGATCCCATTTTGAATAAGTGGATCATGTGATGGCAAAGGAAATGTATATATGGGAATTAGCGTGGTGTCTAAGTAACCTCTATATGGATCACTATTCATTGGTCACTTTTCGAGCGAGTATTATCGAGCAAATAATATTAGTGCGAGTGTTATTCAAAGGCGTCTGACACCAGTATTGTTCAACGGTGTTACTATAGTTGTATCTGCGATTACAAAGTCTCTACTACAACAAGCATTACGAAAGTGGCAACGAGTATTCGTTGGCATCACAAAATGCTCGCTACGCCGATAAATAGGCAGTAACATTCTCAGTCATTCTCTTTCTCTTATTTCCCCCAGGGACTGTAAGGCGTAGGTTGAACGTGAAGAAAAGTACGCACGCACACCAGAACCTTTTCCTTTACTTTCTTCAATGTAATACTTTTCACACAGTCTTCTTCTACACACATTATTTAGTTTTTAACTTTTTTCTTCATTCATTGTTCAGTAACATGTAACAATATTTTATTGTCTATGTGTTCCATTGTTTTGTTAATACATTGTCGTAGTTTTGTTGTTACTTGACCATTTTATTACCCGGACTCACATTCTGAGTTTTCCATTTTTTTATGGGATAAATATACCAGGAAACACGGGCTTTTCACTTAAACATTCGACCAGCTATGGCCGCAACACCACCACAGTTGGCATTCATAGCTTCACTTCCTTGCAACGAGGCCATCATATTTAATGTAAAACAAAAGAATAACGTAATTAACACAATGAAGTCATAAACTTCAAGGTGATAGACAGAATATTAAATATCCATGTCAATAATATTTGGTTGATTATTCTGAAATGGAAGAAAATTAATTTTTTTACAGAAAGTTTCTTTACAAGCAACTCGTTAATTTTTTTTAGTCACATGAATCTGGAAATTCAACATTTAAGAACAATTTGAACATTAGTTGCCATAGAAACTATTAGTAATAAACTATACTGGAATAGTTTAAAATCCAAGGTAAACCCCTTGTTGAAAAGAAAAGGACCAGCTTTCTCTGATAAAGTTTGCTAGTGAGAAGTTACAGAGTGTAATGGTGAATTGCGTCAACCCGATAAGAGACCCAGAGTTGGTTTGGTGTGGTGCCGTAAGCTCTAGGAGTTACATTAAAGGCTCTGCAATTAAGCTTATCTAATTTTTCTTGTGTTCATACACAAGTTTTATGAACCAGTACCAATATTTTCCAGAAAGGCACAAGAATCAACCAAAATGAATATTAAGATTGCTCTCAACTAGCCACCTAGAGTTTTCTTTATCGCACTGACAATAAAATCATTGCAAAGACTCAAAAGAAAATAACATGAATCTCATATCTCAAAATTTGTCATGTTTCATTACTAAGTTCAAAGATTTTCTGAAAACAAGGACAAACTTATGGAGATTCATTAATGTAACAGAGAATTGGGTCAACCCGACAGTTGGTTGCATATGGTGCAATAACCAACAGGAGTTATGTCCCCTTCTACAATTGGCTGTTTAAAAAGGACAAAAAGAAAATTACACAAACACATGAGAAATTATATAAAAACTCAACCACTGCACTTTGTCAGTCGTTTTCAATGAAACTTGCATAAAAGACGGATTGCTGCCCAAATACACTATATATATATATATATATATATATATATATATATATATATATATATATATATATAATGAAATGGATTAAATCTGACAATTATTTAATATATTTTCTGTTTATTTGTTATTTTCATTGATACAGTTTATTTAAGTAAATGCTCTGTTTTTAAATGAAACAGTATTAATTAGATTTACCAGCTTGAATTTTTGAGAAATTTCCTGAAACTGCTACTAGGGGACGATCTACGGACTGTGTGATATTTTTCTCATATATATCAACATGTAAGTCTGTCGCGGAAAATACGTTTTCCATTGGGAAATGTAGAAACACACCAAAACACACACTCTCACACATGTGCATATGCACTTTCATTCACTTCACATCCTTTGAACTTTAAATAGTTTTATATTCTTTTTTCTTTTTTTTTACACACATAATTGTCTGTTTATCTTTCTTGTTAATACATTATCATTTGTTTCTTTGTATATATATATATATATATATATATATATATATTGGTTCTTGTTGTTGCTTGGTATTTTATCATGGTGGACACACATGCAAGTCCTCCATTTTTGCTCTTGGTATTCTGGAAGACACATGTTTTTCCCAACTGAAACACCTGACATACATAATGCCCACAACACATTTATGTACAAGAAAGCCTAAGGCATAATTAGTGTTGACTGATTTTTTTTCTTTCCCCCCAGGATAATGGAAAATTGCAGCTCACATCTACAGCCACCCTGACCATTACTGTGACCGATGGGGATGACCTGGGACCCCAATTCAGACATTTAGCTTGTCAGAAAGCATTTGGTGGAAAATGCTTTACTCCAACTTATAATGCTGATGTAGAAAGTGTGCTTGAGGTAAGTTCTTTTATTCTTAAAATAATTACCATAGTAGTTGTCCAGTATTTGTGTTTTTCCTTAATTACAAATCCTCTTTCTATGCCCCACACTAATTTGCCTTATGCCAGACTAAACTAAGCTTATTAAGTAACATTACAAAATATTGCTTTCAAATACTTGTTTGAATCTGGCAGCTAACAGCAATATCTGACTTTTATTTTTATGATGAAATTTCACTAATTGCAAAGAATGATTGATGTACATAAAATAAAATTTTGGTTCATATTTTTATCTTTCATTTTCATGAAATCCGCAGCAGGCCTTTTTGATTTTGTTGGTTCCTCATACGACTTTGATGAATTGGTAGTGATAATTGCAGTGATGGATTGGTAGTGATAATAGATTTATTTAATCTTTAAGATTATCCTACAGAACAATAGCTTAGAAAGTTAAAGGGTTCGTTCATCAATTTGGTTGCATCATGGTTGGGTTTTCAATTTTTGGGTTGGGTAGTACAGACTTAAACAGAAACATCCCTAGCAATAAATGAGCAGTAAAAATAATCATAATCTATCCCCATAGATTAAATAAAGTGTTTGGTTCTAAATTCCATGAAGGTTATCTGGATTGACAGACATCTGAAGATGGCCATAAACCCATTGGCCTGAAATGTGATAAGATGAGGATATTATTCTGACTGACTGCAAATAATGTCAATAGCATTAGAATTAAGTATATAGAACATTACATAAATAGTATAAGTCCCATGCATGCACATATACAATATTTATATTTATATATTTAATCACAGCAGATTAAAATATAAGTTTAATTTTGCATTTTTGAATTGAACCATGAGTGTAATTAAATACATTGATGTCCTAAATTTCAAATTTGAAACAGAAAATGGAAATTAGAAGACACAGTTCTGCAGCAGATGCAAAGATGGATAAAAAGTGAAAAACTTGAAAAACATAATTCTTTGATTTAAAATAAAAAATAAAGTGTATAAAGTATTATTCAATTTAATTCTTGATTACGCTAATTGTATGAATTGATTTTTTTTAATTGTCTCTTTCAGTAAAATATATTTAAAATGATATTGATTTTTTTATTTATTTAAAATGATATTGATTTTTTTTTTATTTATTTAAAAGGATATTGACTTTTCTATTTATTTAAAATGATATTGTTTTTTTTTTATTTATTTAAACAATGGTCCATATTTCTGAGTTTGAAACTAAGTATAACTTTTTTTTTATTCCAGAATTCCCCCATTTTATTTCAGTCCTCTGGTGGTGGTCCATTAATGCAGATTAAAGCTAAAGATGGTGATACATTGGCTGCTAAAATTGATTTCAAAATCAGTGCTGGTTGGTCTATTTCTTTTTACTCTTGCAAACATTTTTTAGAAAATTCTATTAATTGAGAATATTTATACATTCTATTTTCATCCAATCATTTTTCACCATTATTTCATCCAATCATTTTTCACCATCATTTCATCCAATCATTGTTTGGAAGCACAAAACAAAAATTCTGTAACTAACTTAACACAGTAGAAATTCATGAGTGATATCAATACATAAGGAATTTAATAATTCATAAGCAACTAATTTTGAAGAGAAACTGAAAAACATTTCTTAAGATTGTTATTTTTTTTAGTTTCTTAAAATCTTACTTTGAAATATAAATTCACATCAATTAACTGACTGTTTTAAGAATAAATTATCCCTTGGAATTACAAGTTTTTGTTCTTTTTAATTGTTTTAGGAAGTTTAGAATTTTGTGTAATACATCTGCATCCAGGCTCTTATAATATATCAACATTCTTGGTAGATTTTATATTGTCAAAGTGGAGGATAGTCAGAGACAAAAGTGATGGAAAGAAAAAGAAAAAGAATACAGACGAATTTGGCTAGATTGAGAAAAAAAAAAATTCTTTAAAATTATTTTTTTAAAAATTTTTAAACTACCTTTGTCTCTTGCTTCATCTGCATGTGTAGATATGGCAACATCAACAAAGCCCAGTCTGATGAAATCCTCATGGATGAAATGTGTCACAAAAAAACTCTTTCCAGTTTGTCTCATTTTTCTAAAAAATTGTCTTTTATTAATTTAGATGCACTTAATTTTTTAATCATTTTTCACTTTTACGTCCAAATCTTTTTTGAGAAATATCTTAAATGTGTATTAAAATATCCTGTTTGAAAATAAAATATATCTGAATTTGTTTTTTTTAGTTCTGCCAAGCCAGTACAAGTCCAATTTTAAAATCAGGATAACACCGCCAGAAAAGGGTTCTGACGGCTATTATACTGCATCTCTGACATTAATAAAGTCAATAGATAAATCCGCTCTGGTAGGAACAGTCGTTTACATTACGGTAAGTGATTTATGTGTGTGTGATGTTTGTTGACATTTATTGAAACTTCCATCAATTTTCAAGGCTGACTTTGACTCAATAGATTTTTGGTCCCCATCACCTTTGCTATTGAGTGTAAGACAAGGATGTGTCTTCTCACCAGACTTATTCAACCTATACAGGGAGGCAATTCTGAGAGAATTAGAAGTCTTACCAGGATTCATTATTGGCAGCCACAATATTAACAACATAAGATATGATAGTATTGATAGCAGACATGGAAAGAAAACAACAAAAACTCCTATAGAACATAGTAAAGGAAAGCAAGAAGAAAGGACTAAACATAGACTCCAAGAAGACAGAATTCATGGTTGCTAGCAAGAGGATAAACCCAAAATGCAAATTACGAATCGCAGATATCAAAATCAAACAAGTACAAAAATTTAAATATCTGGGAAGTATTCTACCAGTAGATGGAAAGTGTGACACTGAAATCTGAAGCCAAAGATGCCTTCCAAAAGCTAAGCAGAGTATTAAGAAATAGAAAAATATCTTTAGAAAGAAAAGAACAGTTCTGTGATATCTGTCCTTCTATATGGCAATGAATGCTAGACAATCTCCTCAGAAATGAGGTAGAGAATTGAGGCAATGTTCTACAGAAGGATGCTGAGGATACCAAGGACTGAACATGTGAGCAATGACAAGGTTTTAGAGAAAATGAGAACAAAAAGGAAACTTCTACTTAACATCAGGAAGAGAGAGTTGAAATTTCTGGAGCACATAACGAGGAAAGAGGGCTTGGAAAATCTGATACTCACAGGACAGATTGTGGGTAAGAGGGACAGAGGAAAACAGTGCATAACATACTTGATGAGCTTAAGTAAATGAAATGGTGGAACAGGGTTTAGGAGAAATAAAGAAAAGCCTGGTAATATATCTGTCGTAATCTAATCTGTTTCACTTTCTTCACTGTGATGTCTTTGTCCTTGAACCTCACAATTGGTTCATTGAAACATATTTCTTGCCATCCATAATCCTTGTATCTACCAAAGGAAAAATCTGCCAGCTTTTATGTGTGCCTCAGGTAGTTATATAGGTTTTGCATGTAATTTACATGACTGTGTAAGGAACAGGTGATTTTGTGACTCTTTCATTGGGAAGATAGGCCATATCCATTATTAAGAGCAACAAAAGACAGGAAAAATCTGCCAGCTTTTATGTGTGCCTCAGGTAGTTATATAGGTTTTGCAACAAAAGACAGGAAATTGTGGAGAGTCATAATCGCCTACACCCTGAAAGGTCATGGCACATAAAGAAGTATGAATTTTGTCTTGGAATAAAAGAGAAAAAATTTCCATAGTTATTAAAAGAACCAAATGTTTTATTGGATTTAACCAATTTCTACCAACCCTATAATACTTCCAGAAGAATTCCAGATTATATACATATATATATATATATATAAAACAGACAATATCTGTGTGTCTGTCTCTCTGTGTGATACCTTTTCACTTGAGATCCATCCAACCGATTTTGACTAAAATTGGCACATACATTATAAAACGTAAGAGATAGATTCTTAGCATAAAAAATCAATGATTTGTAAAAAATCAATAATCGATAAAGCCAATCAAAAATCAATAAATTCAACTCTTTTCCTCTGATTTTGTCCAAACTTGGTATGTAGGTTACTTAAATCATGACGAGCTTAACAATACCTCATTTTTATTTCTACGTTACTGCATTTAGTGAAAAACTGCAAAAATGAAAAATCGATTTCAACACACACTTAAACTCCCTCAATTTTCAGGCAATCTAATACAAATTTCACTCAATTGTAGCTAACAATAAGTTGATTGTTTAACAGTCATTTAACTTGATAATTGAGTCCACCCATATAGTGAAAAATCCATGTAAATAGTATATTTATACTAAGCAATTTCTTCCAAAAGGAGTAATGAAAGTCGTGAGCAGATAGTTTTCTTTACTTAATGTAATTTTGTAGGATCTGCTGCTAGCATCTAGTTTAGAAAAAAATTTATCTCCATTTAGTTTAGGTAAAATATCATTAAAATTTGGTAATGTTTAATATTCCCTTTTCACAGGTAGATTTAGCTTTTTCAAATCTACACATATTCGGACATTTTTGCTTCTTTTTATTACAGGTGCTGTAGGCACAAACCAATCAGTTGGTTCCATGACCATTTCAATAATTCCCTCATGTTCAATTCTTCCTTTACCTGAGTTAAAACAGAAAATATGACTGTCTTTTAGCTTTTGTTACACAGTAGGCTATAATGTCCTCTTTCAGAACTAATTTAACTTATACAACCAGCAGTGTTAAATGAAGTCTCCAATTGTATTTTGTCTAGGCATTTCACTAAATTCAGTTGGGGGAGAGTCGGGGGAGAGCTGTTAGACATTTTCATGACGGTCGTCCTCGAGTATAGAATCCAGAGGTTGGCAGTGAATATTTCGGAGACAGTAGGAAAGCGTACTTTAGGTTCGCAGTGGATATCACAGCAGAGTGTAATTCTTCCTTCTGTCGTGTTCACCTGATAAGTTGGCTCTGGTTTTTCCGGAAGGGAAAACAAGATGGCCGCCTTTATACACAACGGATACGATCTTCAGCGGCTCCTGATTGGTTAATCTTCTATTGGTAGACTATAAAGGGAAATAAGTCATTCTGACTCGCTCACTAGTTACACAATATACACAAAAAACTGTAACAAGAGCTAAGGTGTTAGACTGATATGGCTGAAGTTGTCTCCCTAAAGTGTCACCTACTTAAAAACTGAACAAATAAAGCTGAAAATAAAAACACCTGAACAATTTCACAAGTTGGTGGCATACTTTGGATTCATTTTTCCTGCTATTATAAAACATGAGCTTCTAGTCGGAATAATGTCCTGTATATAATCAGGTAGAGTAAAATTTTATGATGAGTTTTTTTACTCAAAAAATAGGGTATCGTTCTGTACACAGGTAATTTTTTGGAAGAGGTGAAAATTATGCATTTTCAGTGACTGGTTGCACTATAAGTAAGTAAATGTTTTTGTAGAGGCATTAAAATGCATTGCAAAAAAAGGTTCAGGGGTTGCACTATATGTAAAGTCAGCATATACATAAGTATATAGAGTAATTCTTTTCCTGGAGAATGTAGTCCATCACTTTTTGGTGTCATACTTTGGAAAGTCCTAACCCAAAACAGTCAAACTGTATAAATTCTCCATTCATCTCTAGAAGTAAAATTTTTCATTTTGTCAAATTTGTTAAAGTTTGAATCCAGTAGATTTTTGGTTTTTTTCATTTCTTGTTCAACTATCTCTGTGATTGTAAAATTTTTTTTCTCTAACAACATTTGCATTTTTAGAATACAGTAGAGGCCGTTTTATTGAAAATTTGATATTTGACCCACAATGCAGATTGTTCCATGTTGAATCAAAAACTGGTTTCTTTTCATTTTTTTTCTGAATTTATTTTGTCTCCAAAACTCAAATCCTACACAAAATTCTAATATATACTCATCACTCGGTGGATGGTAGATTTAGATATAAAATGATTAGTCATTGTCTTTCTGTTCTAAATATGAAGATGATCTTTGTCTTACAAAATGCAGCAGATGAAACAAACAAATTCTGTAAATTGTTGGTAAGTGGTTATTTATACACTTAACTTTTTGCTATAAGTGTTACATGATGAATCTGACAAATCTAATACAGTGTATAATTTTTGTCACAATAATTTAGACATGCATATATTTTTTGTTTGCATACAGGCCACTGAAGATACTACACGCCACCTTTTCAGTGTAGCAAGAATCCTATTTAAGGTAAGTTTGCACTAAATATCACAGCCATGTTTACAAGTTTAAATAAGTATGTTTATAATTGTAAGCACAGTATGCAAATGAATATGAACAAATTCTTCTACAAGCAAGATAGCTAAACATATTCTGATTTTAGTGTAAACTAAATTTTTGTTTCCAATTTCTTATCATTTGTTTTTATCATATCTCAAAACTTCCATAAATATATCACCAGTTGGAAGTTAAAGCTGATTCTTGATCTTTTATTCAATGACCAAACTCAGTTTTTATTTCATTAAGGAGTCCGAGAAAAGAAATAACAGTAAGTTGAATACATGTCTACCAAGCTTTAAATTTTAGATTAGAAATCAAATGTTCATACAAAGATGACACTTTAAAATTTATGTTTGCATGTGCATTTCATAAAAATTTGAGTTTGTATGGGGGGGGGGGTCATAGAAATCAACACTGCATGGTAACTGTTAGTTTCATGCCTCCTTAGATGAACTTGCTTTAAGATATTACATTGAAAACTTGTCAAAATTGCTCCACAGTTGCAGTCATGTTTCAATGCATATCAATGCATCTCTATTTGTTTTCATCTTACCTGGAAATATATATGATATAACAATATATAATTTCATATAATTTTATATATCAACAAACAGTATTTAGAAAAATAGCATGACATATTGGAAAAAAGATTTTGTGACTCATTTTATTCAATGAAATCCTAATGGATGAAATGCATCACAAAAAACTTTTTTCCAATTTGTCATAATATATATATATATATATATATATATATATATATATACACACATATATATATATATATATATATATATATATATATATATATATATATATAAAGTGGACATTGATGTCAACACCCAGTGGGGACAGTCTTTCATGTTTATACTAAACATGACAGGGCTGTGACAGAAGGACACCTCAGTTCTCAAAATCATCCTGACTTTAGCTGTTGACACAACAGAGATAAGCAGGGTTGCAGTGCAAAATGTATATGAATTAAGATTAAAAAAGTCTATAAGCTTTAGCTAGAGTGGAACTAGTCTTACCAAGAAAGATCAAGCTGTCATTGTTAGGACTAGCTTAAAAAAATGCTGTCAGAAGCAAAAATATGGTTGCTGAATTATGAACAGATTAACATATAGCCAGTGTTATATTGTCAGATGAACGAGTGCTTACAAATGAAGAAATATTCAAGGCTTTTCAAAATTTGAAGATCTTTTTACCAGGAAGTCCAAACTGAACATTATTCAGTTCAACACCTATGTAATGACTTTCCTTGCATTGAAACAATTCAAGAGAATAGTTGCAAGGATGGTGGAAATTTGGGGAGTTCTGAAGCTTATCTGTAGGTACAAGATTCTGAGCCAAACATGAGTATGTGTCAGTTGTTCTGGTCTGTCTCAGACACTTTGAAGTTTTCAGTGGTTCATTGTGTAACCCTTCGCTTAGACTGGTTGCCACTCAAGGTTATAGAACCCAGTCTGCCCTGCTATTTACCCATAGCTGAAGGGAGAAGAAGAGGATTCATACCTTTCCCAAGAGTACACATATTTAATTCTGGGAATCAGGAGGTTGTCCAAAGGCAACATACATATCCCATCTTTTCATGACACTGCTCCAATATCACTGTTTGCATCCCATTAGGTATTTGATTTTGTGGGAGGGTGTCATAGAAATTTGAGTTTGTATGTAGGGGGTGGTCATAGAAATTTGAATTTGCATGGGGGGGTCATAGAAATAAATCTAGGTATGTACAGCCTCAATATGGGATACTCCTCTTGATGTGGCATATAATAGATAATGTTCTTTACAATCTGGAATTTCTCTACCCTCCCTCCAGTCCCTATACCTGCCTCTATCAATTCATTTAAAGACTTGTATTCCACATCCTTCACCTACTCCTCCACCACTCCCTCTTTTTAGTGGACTCATCACCCACTTCCTCATCTGAATCATTCCAAATTGGTTTATCCTTTAATTTCTAGGAATCTGTTACATTAATCTGGTAAGCCTTATCATCCACATCAATTTCTATTCCCAATAAATCCTGTTCCAATTTCCTTGGGATTTGTGACAATATATTTACATAATTGTTCTCCCTACCTGAAAGATATTCTGTATGACAATTATAGCCACTTAACTTATTGCTGAAATTGCTTATTCATTCATTTAACCCCAAACAGATATTATACGTGTTTGTGATGCGTTTCTAACACAAAATCTGTTCCATCTAAGTTAACAATGCAAATTCTGAAGTGCATGCCCTATCATATAGACTTCCTTTTTAATCATTGGCCATCTCTTGTTTTATAGGGCATAACTTGTATAACAAAAATAAATCAATTTCTTCCTTCATACCCTCCATAGGTCCTTCCCATGACTGTGTCAGACAAGCTTCAATGCACTTGTTACTCACATCAGTATGCACCATCTGTTGGCTTAAGTCTATATATCCTAACAAAGGCACAGCCATTAGTTGGTCCTTTAGGGCATCAAAGGATTGCTGACAATCTTCTGTCCATTTAAATCTAGAATATTTCTCAGTCAGGTTTATTAAAGGGGCTTTGATTCTAGAAAACCCAGGGTATAAGCCTTCTATAGTACCCTACTGCCTCAATAAAGCCTCGGACATCTCTCATCTCATCACCTCAACTTTATCTGAGATGGATAGATAGATAGATAGATAGATAGATAGATAAAAAATATTACCAGCAATAAAATCTTGTTGGCATTAAATAACCCATTATATATCATAAAACAAGACAAAACAAAACAATTATCCTTCTGATCAGGAAGTTTTGAGGAGCGTGGAACCACCTCTTAATTGCTGGTGTTTCCAGGTCCACCTTGACCTGAGGTAGTAGCACCTATTAGGATCCCAGCTATGAGAAAATAGTTAACCCCACCAAAGGGGTCAAAACACTACAAAAGTGTAAAAATAGGTTTTAATACCTAATAGAAATTAATTAATAAATTACATTTTGTAAAAATTATTACCAGCAATGAATTTTGAAGAAAAAAATGATTATCAGCAATACATTTTTGAAAAAAAAAATGTTACCAGCAATAAAAATCTTGTTGGTATTAAATAACCCATTGAGGTTGATATGCTGTAAATCAAACGAAACCAAACCAATATATACTGAGATAGATAGATAGATAGATAGATACATAGATAGATAGATAAAAAATATTACCAGCAATAAAATCTTGTCAGCATTAAATAATCCATATGTCATAAAACAAGACAAAACAAACAATTATCCTTATCCCATTAATAACAAATTCAAGATACTTTGTATCATCTGACACTTCAGTAATTTTAGTTTTAGAATATGCTACTTTAGTTGATCAAATACCATTTGCAAATTCTGGATGTGCTCTTTCGTATCTTTTTAAAATATGAATATATCATCAATATAGGCCATAATAAAATCCTCCGACCCACTCAACATGAATATGGGTTTTTGGAAAATATCAGGAGCTCCTGATAATCCAAAAGGCATAAAGGTTACCTGCCAATGCCCAACTCTCAAATCAATTTTCCCAATAAAGCTGTCACCAATCAGTGGTAGGAGGTAAGCTAGCACCTTAGTGATATTATTCAATGGTTTAAGGTCAACAGAAAATCTGTGTCCCCCAGTTTTCTTTGTGACTACAACTAATGGGGGAAAACCCCAAGGTGACTTCAATCTCTGCATGACCCTTATATCCAACATTTCCTTAATTGCTTGTTCTATATGGCTTTAAACTTATTAGTAGATGATTTCACATATCAATTTTCATTTTTACTGCCTGGGTCCTTGCCAGCTCCTTATCACAATTTGCAATTATCTTCTCATTGCTTCACAGTAATTCAGATAATATCCCTTTAAATTCAACTGGGACCACTGGTTCCTTTTCATTAAATTTTGTGGACTTATTTCTGCCAATATTCCTTTCTTTCTCATAACTGGTTTGCCTCTTCATGTCAACTGCCATTGCCTTACCTAATTCTGTATTGGGTAACACTCAAACTGTTTTATCAGCTATATCTACCATTTACATTGGAATGCTACTCAGCTTTCCTCTACCAGGGCTTCCAATATAGTGACTTCCTCACCTTCAGGCTGAAAATTCACTGAAGATGTGATTTGGTACAGTGTTCCTCCTCTCTCACTAGGAAATTCCATTCTACCAGTGCTCAATCATGGTATAAGGTGACAATTTCGTATCATGTTCCAAGCATACCTTCATTTTTGTTAATAACTTCTTACCCAATGGTATCTCTTCTCCCAGCTTCAAGATGGTGCCTCAAAAAAACTCAATGCCTCCTTCCTCTTGAGCCAAACTTTACCTAATATCAATTCATTGAACAAGTCTGGGGACACTTAAATGCACTGTCAGGTTGGCTTATGTGTACCTAGCCATACAGGTAGAGCAATTGTCCCTTCCAGTCTCTTCTCTTTACTATAAATCTGAGTAATGGTCAAATCTACCAGCTTTTGCCAACCTTTCCTCAGTCGATTCCTCACTGTTGATTTCATAATTATTATTGACAAACCTGTATCAATTGATGCTTCCATTTTGATTCTGTATTTTGACATCACAAGTCAAATCTCTGTCATCTGACATCACATGATATACGTTTGTTCTTCTTTTCGTTCTGTTCACACCATTTTCATTCCTGTTGGATTTTCAGCCCTTGATTCTCTCAGTCAGAAATCCAACCTTTACTTACCATCATTCCACCTTTTAACTCTATTTATATTACCAGTATCCTTACAAACCATGTGTCTCTTTCTTTTACAACCATAGCATAGTGTCTGACTACATTTCTTCATCACATGTCCTTCTCTATCGCACGTCTAGCACTGGTGTGTGACGGTACATACTCTCCTTACATGTTTCCTTCTTTCCACATTTATAACATGATGTCTCTTTACATCTCCTCATCATGTGATCCTCTTTTCTATTGATCTTCTTTGTATCCTTTATTTTTTCACCTGGGTGTACCTTTAGATTTGGTCGTTTGCGTCAGAGGGTTTTCTTTCAGGAGTGAGGATAACCTTCTTCCATCCCAGCCTGTAACTACTACAATGTGATTACTATTAACATGTTAAAGAAGAGAAAGAAGGACTAATCTCATAGTTAGGAACATTGTTTATTTGTTTGTTTCCTTCTTTTTCCTTTTTTTTCTTTTTTTTCCTTTCTTTTTCTTTTCTTTCTTTCCTTCTTTTTTCTTTCTTTTTTCTTTCTTTCTTCTCTTTCTTTTCCTTTAGCTTTCTCTTTCTTTTGCTTTCTTTTTCTTTTTCTCTCTTTTCTCTCTTTTTCTCATTTTCTTTCTTTTCTTTTTTCTTTTTTATTTCTTTCTTTTTCTTTCTTTCTTTCTTTTTCTTTCTTTCTTTTTCTCTCTTTTCTCTTTCTTTTTATCTAATTTTCTGTTTCTTTTTCTGTTTCTTTTCTGTTTCTTTCTTTCTTTCTTTCTTTCTTTTCCTTTGTTTTTTCTTTGTTTTTTCTTGTTCTCTCTTCTTCTTTTTCTCCTTCTTTCTTTTTCTTTCTTTCTTTGTTTCTTTTATTTTTCCTTTTCTTTCTTTCTTTCCCCCTTCATTCTGACCAGTTTATTTTGCATATACATGTGGGAAAATGGTGACAATAAAGCAATGTATTTCCTTGCACCATTAATAACATTGGTGGACAGATGCTTGACCCTGGATTTCATACATGTCAACTCTGTGGCAGATCAAATGACCATTAAGAGATGCCAAGGCACCAACATTTAAGAATTGACAGTTGGAAGATAGCGACCAAATGAGACGGACCCGAACTCTTGCACTGCATCTGTCCATAGGAACAGATGATGCTGTAACCAAAGGAACTGTGTATTTAATCAGTTTTACCATATCCATGAATTATGGATATATCTTGAGAATGCACTTCGATGACTTTAGCATTTGCTTAAATGATCATTGAGATTATCCATGAATCTGGACATTCCATTGTTATGAACTCATCACTCAGATTCAGTCTTTATAAGAACATTTGATATGGTGACGCTATGGTACAGATAAGTAATACGTGAATTCTATTGACATGATCGAAATCTATATTATACAACACGTTCACTGCATGTCACTTAAATAGATGATTTCTTTTTACTGTCTCTTTCTTTTCTCGGATTTTCATCTTATTAAATTGTTTATATTAAACTGACTCCACTTGTTCACCATCACTCTTTCACTGATTATTGCATTTTGCTTGCCCTGTTCCTATCCTGTAGACGTCCCTTGCTTAGAGGAATCCAGGATATCATATCCGGAGTCATATCTCACATTCCGGTTTAAATATAAAGTTAATCTGTCTGAGACTTAGGCTGTGACATAATTTAGTTTCATATGTGACACTACATATATATGCAGTCTGCCCTAATGCCCTAATCTCTCGCCCTTCTACACTTGGGTTTGCTGCTTCCAGCAGTAACCCCTAATTGGTCGGACAGTCCTTAGCCCTATGTTGAACTCTATTACAAACAAAATGCACTACTCCTGAGGTGGGGATGTATGTTCCATCCTAAAACTACCAACTCTCCTTATTGGTGACATCTTTCTCCCAATCCTCTTGTTTCTGAGGACAGTTTGATATGTTGTGATCCTTATTTCCACACCTGTAACACACCTGGATCACCTCAGTAGGTTCCCACCTTTTTGATACTCCTGCAATAGTTAGACACTCCAATCTAGCCAATATACTCTCACTAGTGCCGATGACCTGGCTGTTGTAACATCAGTTATATGTCATGTGTGATACACGCTTAGGTGATCATGTATCTTCCGATACATGACTGACAAAGCAGATTTTTTTCCCGCAGTAGGTAGCCATTTCTTTCTGCGGTAGACCAGTTGCCATCAAAGGCTATAGAACCCGGTTTGTTCTGCTACTTACCTATAGCCCGAGGAAGAAGAAGAGGATTCATACCTTTCCCAAGGGTATTAGCACGTAAGTGAATGTAATGGATTTGATTGGAATTTGAACTTAGCTCTCCAATTCTTCAATATGAGCCCCAATTCATTACTTCAACATACCTCCTCTTTGTAACGTTACTGGGCCAATTCTTGTCACATAATCCCTAATTTGAGTATTTCAGAGGGAGTCAATAAAATAATCTACTAATAAAACTGAAATCAGATCAGGTAGCCTCCTCCAATCTGCATCTGAGGAGGCTACCTCTGCTAATATCTTGATTCTAGTTGTCAATGCTCCTAATGCCTCACTCTGTTTTTGTTTAATTCCTGACAATACTCACAATGCTTTTCTCAAACTGGCCAGTCCTCCACAGCATAGCTTGTCCTAATTACAAAATATTTCTATTTTCATCTAACGTCATAATGAATTAAGAGACCTTGCTTTCTTTATAGATGAATGCCAGGATGACTATTTCTGTATCCACTATGTCATAAATTGTTGTCTTTTTATAAAAGGCCAGCAGCCAAGCACGTAGCTCATTGGTACACTAGTGATCTTTACATTATTTACACTATTTGGACTGCTATCCTCATCTTCATTGCATATTCACAATGGTTCAGGTGACTGGAATTCTGAACTGAATCCTTTATTTTATCCACTGAGGTAGATTGTTCTAGTTCCACGTGCCATGCTTCTTCCGGATGTCTCAGTTATTTCCCTTTAACTCAACTCTCCAAGTTTTGGCTCACCACTGCAGCGGGCTGGTGTTGAACACAACTCTTTGGGTTTAGTCACTGGATCTAACCGATGTCTTTATCCACTGGGGCCATGTGTCCTGTCATATTTAGACTGGCTGCCCATCATTTTTGGGTTTCACCTGTCCCACTCTCTTCCTCATATCTCTTTAATTTTTTTTTCTTTTTCTCTCTCTCTTCTCCCTAGAATTTCCATCTGCCATCTTTAATCTGATCAGCACTAACTTTTCTCAATACCCGAGAACCCTTGTTAGCACATAATCAAACAGAAGTTAAAGAAGCAGAAGAGAATTAAATTCTGACCATTTTAATAATGGCACCCTGCTTGTCTTTTCATCTTGCCAATGTTCGGCTTTGTTGGGAGGCCATTTTTAAAAGTTGATCTCAATTGAACAAAAAGTCTCTCATGGCTCACCTATTCCTAGCTTTATTGGGACTTTCTTTCTTTTTCTCTCTTTTTCTCCCTTTTTATTTCTTTTTTTCTTTCTTTTCCTTTCTTTTTTCTTTCTTTTTTCTCTTTCTCTCTTTTTCTTTCTTTTTTTCTTTCTTTCTTTCTTTCTTTCTTTCTTTCTTTCTTTCTTTCTTTCTTTTTCTTTCTTTCTTTCTTTCTTTTTTCTCTTTATTTCTTTCTTTTTTCTTTTCCTTTTTTTTTCTTTTTTCTTTCTTCCTTTTTTCTCTTTTTTCTCTTTTCCTTTTTTCTTTTCCTTTTTTCTTTCTTTTTCTCTTTCTTATTCTTTCTCTTTTCTCTTTTTTCTTTCTTTTCTCTCTTTCTTTCTTTCTTTCTTTCTTTCTCTTTTCCTTTTTTCTTTCTTTTTTCTCTTTCTTTTTCTTTCTCTTTCTTTTTTTTCTTTCTTTCTTTTTCTTTTCCTTTTTTCTTTCTTTTTTCTCTTTCTTTTTCTTTTCTTTTCTTTTCTTTCTTTCTTTCTTTCTTTCTTTCTTTCTTTCTTTCTTTCTTTCTTTGGACTTCACTGGTTCTGCCAATGTTTGCCACACTCCAATCAACACTTAGTGTAGGTATTCCTTCCTTCAACAATCTCAGCCTGCCCCAGACCATGCCACCTTTCAATACATATGTGTGCAAGCTAATTGAAAACTACATGGTTCTCATACTAAGCTGAACGTTCTTTGTCTTGGAGGCTAGTTCGGGTTTTGGCAACATGGTAACACTATTTGTTAAGAATTTACTCTATGCCTTTCCTTCGTCAACCTTGTGTATCAGAATTTGAATGATATGGCAATGGAATTTTGTGGAGCTGGGAAGAAGAATTTTTGTTGGAAAATTGTGGCAGAAAAGAGGCTGCTCCCTTTAGTGAAATTTGGTAAAAAGTGGGTGTATGTTGTGTATTTTTTTGAGGGAAAGATATTGCTGTCCTTGGTAAGATGATAAACTACATCGAACAGCAAGGCCTCTGATCAGGAGGTTTTGAGGAGTGTCGAAATACCTTTTAATTGCTGGTGTTCCCAGGTCCATCCTGACTCAAGGTGGTAGCACTTGTTAGGATCCCATCTATGGGCAAATAGTTAACCCCCAAACTGGGGTCAAAACACTATGAAAGTGTAAAAATTGGTTTTAATACCAGCAATAAATTTTTTGAGTAAAAATTATTACCAGCAATACATTTTCGAGGAAAAAAAATAGTACCAGCAATACATCTTTGTAAATAATTAATACCAACAATGCATTATTACCAGCAATACATTTTTGAAGAAAAAAATATTAACAGCAATACATTTTTGAAAAAAATATTACCAGCAATACATTTTTGGAAAAATATTACCAGCAATACATCTTTGCAAATAATTATTACCAGCGATACATTATTACCAGCAATACATTTCTGAAGAAAAAATATTACCAGCAATACATTTTTGGAAAAAATATTACCAGCAATACATCTTTGTAAATAATTATTACCAGCAATACATTTTCGAGGAAAAAAAATATTACCAGCAATAAAAATCTTGTCAGCATTAAATACTCCATTGTGGTTGATATACTGTAAAACAAACCAAACCAAACAAACCAAATGAAAGATGTTGTATTTGAATGTCAACTAGACCATGTCTTCTTTCAATACAGCTGTGTGCAAGCTAATAGAAAACTATATCAATTCAAATGTATGCTCAGTTCCTGTTTGTTTTTAATTTTAGCTTGTCATTAAATTACCTTCGCAAGAGGATGTAAGCAAATTGGCCCTTTTTATTTTTAATCATTTTTCTTTAATCCTTGCCTCTCATTAGATGACAGATTTTAGTTTTCTTGTAGCTTTGCATTTAAGCATATTATTAATTCATTGTTAATGAATCCATTCTTACAAGATATTTTATTCTTTCAGAGAAGAAATTCAACAGAAACAAAAGGTTAGTATATGTTCAGTCTTCCTATAATTAGTCAAATATTTGATAATTTATTAAAGGGCAGCTTTTAAGCTATCTTCAGCAGAGAGTTCTTGATTGGGGCCTTCATCACAATTGGTAGGGAACAGTAGATGCGATAGGCAACAATAATCTGCAGAATTCAATTGCTGCATTTAAGTATTGCATTAATATTTAGGCTTACTTTTTAAAAGTTCAATGATAATTCTTCTGCCACCACTTAATTTAAAGATAGTTTGATTTACGTAGGTCCTTGCTTTTTGTGCAAACAATTATTTTTATCTCAGGAGTGACTTTTGCAAATTTTGATTATTCCCAAGTTATAAAAATTATCATACAAAAAAAAAAAATGAAAAATCATGTACAAAAACCAACAAAGAAGAAAATAAAATAAAATCACAGTAACGAAAACTTTGGAATCCAAAATTTTCAGGATGCCGGATTATTTAATTTGCTCACGGAGCTGGCCTAATTCCAAAATGGTTTGATATGTTGGGCTAGGGCCTCTAGACATAAAGTTGAAAAAGTGCAACACTGTAACATTTGTATTTATTATATAAATGATCTACTGAAAGTTAGAGAGTTATGTCCCTTTAGTGACATTTGCATTTATATAGATTTTAGTTCCCCTGCCAAGTTTTAGTCGACATATTCTAATAAAAATGTTTAACTGTTGGGGTTATTAAGTTTACTTCTAGAGACGTAAACTGTCTCAATTTTAAAACACTTTAATAATCATTAACATGATAGGGGAAGCAGAATGAAAATATATTTACCGCTAAAAGATGGAGATATTATATAAGCTTAAAAGCATTTAAGCTAGCTCCTGCGGAGGACTCTTGATTGGGACTTCATCACAGTAGGTAGGGAGGAGTAGATGCAATAGGAAACAGTAAACTACAGAAGAACTCAAAACTGATCACTGCATTTAAGTATTGCATTAATATTTAAGCTTACCTTTTAAAAGTTCAACAACAATTCTTCTGCCGCCACTTAATTTAAAGACAATTTGATGTACGTAGGTCCTTACTTTATATACTACCAATTATTTTTATTTCCTGGGTGACTTTTGTTGAATTTTGCAATTAATTTTGATTATCCCTCCCAAATTTATTTTCAAATAATAAAAATTGTTATTGTACAAAAAAATTTGTCACAAAAAATCACGTTAAAAAATTGCCAAAAACAATGACAGTAACTTGGGAATCCAAAATTTTAGGATTATAAGTCTGGATCCAGCCTGGGATGTTTTTTAATTTTCTCGTGGGGTCAGCCTGATTCCAAAATATGTTGGGCTGCTGCCTCTAGGACTAAAGTTAAAAGCACAGACAATTTTATTTTGAAACACTGTAATTTGAGAACAATATATTTTTTTTTATTTGAACATGATCTATTGAAAGTTAGAGAGTTGTGTCCCTTTAATTGTTTTTGTCATTAGAAACTAAGATGGTGGAATTCAAAACAATCACAGTAATGAAAACTTGGAAATCCAAAATTTCAGGATTGCAGGTCTGGATCCAGAAAATGGTATGATATGTTGGGCTAGACCTCTATGAGTAAAATTAAAAAAAGTTTGACACACTGACATATTAACATTCCCATTTATTATATAGATTTCATTTTTCAATATTTACACTGTTGGATTTTATTATACATATCAGTTTTTCAAGTATAACTTGTATGATCCTATGAATGTTGTTTAAATTTTCAGGATGTATCAATATGATATTTATACCATGTGAATTTCAGCTTATCAGTTTTTATTAACAATATTTACAATAGCTTATTTGGTGGTATCAAATTATAATGCTATGGCCATTAACAGCTGTTTTTACATTTCAAAGATGAATTGTATATCTCTTTGCTCATTGGATGTAGCAAAATTCTTGTGAAAGGTTAGACAGTTGTAGCTCACCTTCAGTCTGAATAAAAATAAGTTTGTGCTTCATACTGATGTTGTCCTTTTATTCAGGAAACTAAAAACAAATATTTTTGTCCTGGGTATGATGATAAACTACATCCGTATCCTGGGTAAGACGATAAAATACGTCCATCAGCAAGGCCTCTGATTGGGAGTTTTTGAGAAGTGTGGAACCCCCTCTTAATTGCTGATGTTCCCAGGTCCACCCTGACCCGGGGTGGTAGCACCTGTCACGGTCCCAGCTATGGGCAAATAGTTAACCCCGAAACTGAGGTAAAAAGCATTTTGAAAGTGTAAAAACAGGTTTTAATACCAGAAATACTTTGTAAAAACATTATTACCAGAAATAAATTTTTGAAGAAAAAATTATTACCAGCAATATATCTTTGAAAAAAAATATTACCAGCAATACATGTTTTAAAATAATATTACCAGCTATACATTTTTGAGGAAAAAAATATTACCAGAAATAGATTTTTGACAAAACAAAAAATTACCAGAAAAAAAAAAAAATTGTCAGCATTAAATAACCCATGAGTTGATATGCCATAAAACACAACAAACCAGACCAAACTAAAAACAAATATTTCTCAAAAAGGGAAGTGAATAAACAAAATATTTCAAAGTAACAATTTGAAACAAACTCAAAATGATAAAGAAGACACCGTCAAGTGACATTAGCTAATGAACATGTGGTAATTTCCTTACCCCTAAGGAGTCATGTGGTAGCAAACTCACAGAAATTATAGCTCAACCATGTATCTATAGATGGCAACTTGTATTTGAGGATACCCATCTACTAGGGCAGCTAGCTAATCCATATTGCAGATGCTTTCTCAAGCGCATTTGTGTTTGTTCAACACCCACAGAGCCCACCTGTGGTTTATACCACAACTATACTGAGCAGACCTTAGTTACAGTTTCTGGGAAAGAGTGTTATTGACATTTTAAAGAAGGCCAGCATGCTCAAAACCTTGACCATGATGACTTGTGACGTTGTGCTAGCACAGCTATTGATGGCCCCCAGGGGTACTATTAACCCAATTTCACTCCCAAGGCTTGGGTCACCATGGTATAGTTTTCAGGCACTTTCCAAAAGTGCCACATGATCAACCCCTTCCTAACAAATTGACAATGGTGAGATTCGAACCCGTGTCTCATGGTCAGAATACGAATACGTGCCCATACTCATATGTGATAAATGTCTAGATTTATAGTTATATGGAACATTAAAAAATTATTCTTATAATTTGAACCTTATTACTACTGCTACCATTCTACTACCAAGTCTTTAAGCCTGGGAACGCATAAACCTTTAGCAAGTGTTATAACAGTAGACTCATCTAAAAAAGATGAGTTGCTGTGCCATCTTCCTGAAGCTTTCCCATCTACCAGAATTGGTCTGGGCATATCATGGGGTATGTTAAGAAGGTTAAAAAAAAGAAGCTTTTGCAATGTTGTTTCCATTGGTTTGATTATCCTAAGAAAAAATCAGTTTTTTTTTCCAGAGGCGTTCCTTACATTTATGAACTTTATTCTCTATATGGCTTTAAATTTAACATTTTTGAGTGACGTCCATAATTTGTCTCAGTATGGAACCATCAAGACACATGGCACAGTGGATAAAGGCGTGGGTTAGGTCCAGTTACAGGACCCAAAGAGTGTGAGTTCAATACCATGTTAAAGCAGTGGAAAACTTTCAGAGGGAAATTAGCAGGAGATAACTGATAACTGGCATCCATCAAACATGGCACGTGGAACTAGAACAGTCAACCCCAGTGAGCGAAATAAAGGGTTAAGTTTGACATTCCAACCACCTGCAGAAGGCCAGAGCATACAACGGCCGAAATGTTGTGATAAATATGGCGACAAAGATGAGGACAATAGTCCGAATAATGTAAATAATATCAAGACAAACCATCACTGTTCTCAATGCTGATATTTTCTTCCCAGTTAATCAACATCAGCAAACTGATTGTGGCACCCTGGTTAGCTATGTTGAATGGTTAAGGTCAGTCTAAGAGGGCGAGGCACTTCCATGGCTTTCAGTGCCTCAATGTGTCTACATGCTGTATTGTGAGTGACTGTGAATGCTCTTTTGAAGATGTTTTGTGTCTTCTTAGTATATTTTTAAAAGCCATTCAAGAGGTGTCTCTAGGTTGGTAAACTGTTCTTTATTTGACTTCACAGATCCAGGAGTCAGTCTATATATGCTGGATATTACAATAACAAAGAAAAAATTTCACTTCAGGTTTTTTGCATGTAATGATAGAAGTGGGTTGTCTATTGTTTGTTGTTTACTTTTTTGATGTTTTTTTTTTCCTATGACATGGAAGTAAATAGCTCAATCAGGTGATTCGAATTGAGTTCACATGGTCCAGCATTATTTGCATATATTTCTGGTGGGGCTGAAGTACAAAGCTGTCACCTACGCATCAAAAACACATAAATTCAGTGGTGATTTTTTTTATATATATAATATAAAGTAACTTTTTTCAATGTGGGAATATTTTACTGTAGTTTTTTCACATTTTTGTTTCTTTTTTTTACTTTTTGTTTGTCGTTTATTTTGTTTGTTGTATTTTTGTTTGATTTTTTTTACTTGTTGGGTTTTTCATGTTTTCTGTTGGTTTTTCATTTTTTTGTTAATTTTTCATTTTTTTGTTGGTTTTTGTTTTTTTTTTGCATTTTGTTGTTTTTTGCTTTTTACATACATTTTTCATGTTTTTTATTGGTTTTTCATTTTTTGTTTTGTTTTTATTTTTACAAACATTTTTTCCCAGATATTTTTCACATGATTAAATTTCTTTTTCTGTTATATTTGACAATGGATTACATATTAACACATTTTTCTGTAAATATTTACTATTGCATTTAAATCATTTTGGAATAAAACTTAAAAACATTATATACAAATCATTTTTTTATTTCCTTCGTCTAAATGAAATTCTAAACATGACTTTAGAATTTCTGTAGAGAGAATGTGACATTTTAGTGTTTGTTGCTTGAAAGCTTAGCAATAAAAACAACATTATGGCGAAGGAAATAATGGTTGGGTTAGTAAATCTCAACAAGTTAAGGTAACAACTGCATAATGAAAATCAGTATCTTTCCACCTCAACTAATTTCTGACCTTGTGTAACGTTTGTGTATTTCAACAAAGCAAAATCATTGCAAATACATTAACTTATAATGTAGTCGTTAATTATTAGGAAAATTTAATTTTTTTCATTTTTTTTATTTTGCAGTAGAAAAAATAAAAGACAGTTACAACAGTGAAACATTAGCCTTGATCGTTGTTGTTGCCATTCTATCTGTGATCGCGGTGACTGCATTTATTGCTCTGATATGTTTTCATCTTAGAAAGTCAAAGAATGAAAAGGTATGCATAAAATAGAGACAACTTATCTTTTGGAAATGACAAAATTTCTTTTTATATGATTTTTACCCACTTCAATAACTTCTGAAGTTATAAGCGTATTCCTTGTTTATACATGACGTTTTGAATATTTTTCACTTTTTGAAAAATTTTACGCCTTTTTATAATGTATGAATTTTAACAAAGTTGTCATTGCAGTTTAGAAAACATTCTATAAATTACCTTTGCATACTGTATCTTTCTATCAAACTTGTTGATCTTGAAAAAATTTATCATTCATAGTGCAAATGTAATTTTTCCTATTTTCTTTTTTACAAACTTAATGATTTCTGGTAATTCATAAAATGGAAAATAATTACAAAATTAAACAATAAGACTGAAATTGTTCTCAATTTTAAATAATTCTAATTTCAACAATTATGTTGCATTTGATACACGTATGTTGTGTTGATGATTCCGTATAAATAAGTAAAAAAGCCCAGTTAAATGATTTTTGAAATTCTGTATGACTTGTTCTGTTTCTTTTAAAGCAAATTACTAAATTCTCTTTGATGTATATTTTAAACATAAGTTACTCTAAATAATAATTATTTATATTCAGATATAAAATATAAATTCTAAAATATATTTTCCCATTGATCTTGATTTTATTTATAATGATTCATATCAAGAATTTAACATTTTTCATTCCAGATGATTGGTCACATTAATGAAGGAATGAGCCATTTATAAGTTTGGAAGCCATCAAAATGAATCATTGAAATACAGTGAATATTTAAATATGTAATTTACAACTTTTAATCTATTTGAAAGCAAAAACATTATAGATTGTTTTTTTCAGAAAAGTTTAAAATATGTTTAAAATTAAAAAATATGAAACAAAAGAATGAATGAATATGTGTGTGCGTTTATCCCCCCAAATATCCTCTGTATTTTGGCCATATGTAACAAGTAGTCATTTCTGTCATCTTTTTCTTTTTTTTTCAATACACAAATTCTTGAAACAAATTTTAATTTTTAACTTTCATACAATAATTTCATCACAACATGACACCTTAGTTATTTAGCAACCACTTTTGGGTTTGTGAGTTTTAGTTCTTCATCTTTGCTCAGAGAAATGGTACAAAAACCAGCAGTTTGTTCTATTGATGTTCATCCACTAGTGTCCTTTTCCATAATCTCATTCTGATTACTTCTGGAATCTTTTAATGCACTCAGTTTAGTCAAAGGTATCAGGAAAAATCTTATCATTCATATATTGAGTGATCTTAAAATTCAAATTATATATAACTATGAAGATTTTTTTTGACAATGACAAGGAATTTAGTACACTATTTACATTATTCGGACTATTGTCCTCATCTTTGTCGCCATATTTATTAAAACGTTTCGGCCGTTGTACGCTCCGACCATCTTCAGGTGGTTGGAATGTCGAACTGAACTCTTTATTTCGGTCACTGGTGTAGACTGTTCTAGTTCTACGTGCCATGTTTAATGGATGTCAGTTATCAGTTATCTCCTGTTAATTTCCCTCTGAAAGTTCTCCACTGCCTTAACCGGGTATTAAACTCACACTTTTGGGTCCTGTCACTGGATCTAATTAACGCCTTTATCCACTATGCCATGTGTCTTTGAGCGTGAGTTCAATCCCCAGTTAAGGCAGAGGAGATAACTGATAACTGACATCCATTAAACATGGCACGTGGAACTAGAACAGTCTACCCCAGTGAGCGAAATAAAGGGTTCAGTTCAACATTCCAACCACCTGAAGAAGGCCGGAGTGTTGTAATAAATATGGTGAAAAAGATGAGGACAATAGTCCGAATAATGTAAATAATGTACATAATACCTAATCTCAGAAATATAGACAGATACTGACGGAATTTAGTAATTTCATAAAGATTAACACCGTCCTGGGTAAGATGATAAACTACATCCAGCAGCAAGGCCTCTGATCAGGAGGTTTTGAGAAGTGTAGAACCACCTCTTAATTGCTGGTGTTCCCAGGTCCACCCTGATCTGGGGAGGTAGCACTTGTTAGGGTCCCAGCTATCGGCAAATAGTTAACAACAAAACTTTGGTAAAAACACTATGAAAGTGTAAAAATGTTTAATATACCAGCAATACATTTTGAAAAAAAAAGTACTACCAGTTATACATTTAAAAAAAAAAAAAAAAACGTTACCATCAATAAATTTCTGAAAAAAATGTATTACCAGCAATAAAAATCTTATCAGCATTAAATAACCCATTCAGATAAATATGATGTAAAACAAACCAAACCAAATCAATTAAACTTAACAAACAATTGAAGAATGTGTCTGGAAATGTAAAATTTTACCAAATATGATTTTATTCTGTTGATTCTTCTTTCTTTCTTTTTTTTTTTAAATGACAGAAAAAAGTAATCAAAAAGGTTTAGGGAAAGACTTTCAATAGCCAGATAATAGGGATTAGAAATTAGAAAGTTCTTTCTCGACAGGGTTAGTGATGCAATGGAATAACCTGAATGAGTGACGGCACTATAGGTGGTAACCACCTATAAGTCTCCGTTAGGACAGCAGACAGCAGAGTCGAGTTGGGAGAACTAGCGGCCTTCTGATAGCAGCACACCCACAACTGTACTGACTTGCAATGACCGCGCACATAACTATTACTTCCTTACTTGTTGTACTGCTTTCTACAATAAACCTGTTACTATTTATCCAGCGTGTTTGTCCATTCCATATTCCTATTAGCGCGGAATATAACAGTTAGAAAGTAAACGAGAAAGTGCGAAGAAAAAAAATGTTAAGGCATTTTTCTGTAGTGAAAAAAGTTATCTCTCATATGGCGAAGTTGATGTGTATGTTATAACCATTTAACGAACTGAAATCTTATTGGGTTTCAGTATACAGTTTCGAATGTCGCCTATTTAGAAAGATTCCTTTGCTTAGTGCCAGAAACATTAGATTTATTACCGAAAAAATGGGCACACAATAAGTACTACCGGCGTGGCGTAGACGGTCTCGATGTGCGGTTATAAGTCCATTATTAAGCTGAGGCTCAGTGAAGTTTTACGGTTTGGAATCAAATATCATTGTAACTGTTAAAATCGTAATTTTTAATTATGCTTTCATATATCCAGAAAGCTTATTTTTATCACTTCAAAAAAAATGTTAAATCACTTGTAAAGGACTTAGTGGCACTCTCTTCTGGGATGTTCCATCGTTCCATCGGAAGTCTTGTAAAGAACTGAGAACTCATATATTTCAATCTGCGGATTCAAATTCCGTTAAAATGTATCTTTTACGTTTTGGTGGGCGTCAGAATTATTAAAGTTGTTAATGAAGAAAGGAAATAGAACGTTAATGGCGGCTTCGTGGCCCAGTCAGCAAGTGCCCGCAGTGGGAGACCCAAATAACGATGTGGTAATTTTGCATGTTTCGTAACTTGAGATAGAATGTTGCTAGTACACTATCAAGAAAGGTGCTTGAAATCCAATCACGTTGATGATGTATACCTACACTTATGTTTTGCTGGTCTACAGAAGTATTAAATTAAAAATTTGTTTCTGCAAAAATTTAATAAAAACGACTTCATTTTCTGCGGCAGGGAATAATTAATTTCCTACACGACCATAATCGATCAGAGTTAGATTACTTACGACATTGATCGTAAAGATAACTTACCATTATACCTACAGCAGACAACTTTTTTTATAAATGGTGCTTTGGTGCAATTTAAGAAAATATGATAACATAAACTGTTAACTAAAGGACTTGTAATCCGGCATTTAACCACTTAGCCAACATTACGGGTTTTATAAGCTGTAACTTATTAATTGGACAGTAAAAGTTCACTCCATAAAAATAAACATCAATCCAAGTTACTGTAATAGCTTAGGTAGCGACGTGTTTCCTACTCGTCCATCGGTTATACTTTGAGTTCAACTCAGGATTTCGAAGGCTGATTTTTCTAAGCTTGAAAACGCCCCAATCTTGAAAATTCTCATAATTCCATATTTTTCTTTTAGCTTATTTTGGTTGTATGGTACGCACCTAAATTTCGATAGTGACTTTAAATGTTGAAAATTCAAATTTGTTCCAAGAATTGATTTATTTTTTGAATTTTGTACACGATCAATAATAAAACTCAAATTATGAGTATTGTGTAATTATTTTGAATTTATTGTTGATAAGTAAAAATAAATTCACCGCTTCTTGTTTCGCGTTTACTTTTTTCTTTTTTGTTCCATTTGATGTTCATATTTAACTGCTTATTGCATTTCCTTTTCAATTGTTTAATGTTGGGAATTGGCGATTTGAAGATTGTGTGGATTCAAGTCTCGGTAGTTAACTTTTTTTTAAGCATTTCACACCAAGCAACGTAGGAGTGCCACTAGTACGCAAGTGTCTACAGAGAGGGAAAACACTGGGTATAGGTGGGGTTGAGGAAAGAAGAACGGGGATCAAGACAACAGAAGATGTCCATTGACATTACATTTTAAATTTTGAAGATTCTAGTTATCAGGGAAGCAAGTAAGAGGAAGGGAGTTCCTCTGTCGGGAAGTGTGAAAGAAGAAGCTGAGTAAAAGAGGTGGTTACATTTAACTGTTTCGAGATATCAACTTAGTAGTACGCTTAAATTCATGCAGTGGGAGCGCTAGTGAAAATAGCTCGTCAGAGCAGATGCCATGGGGATATTTATAGAAAAGACAGAGGGAAGCCACATTATGTCGGTGAGAAAGTGACTGGAGTCGAGACTCCAAGTCAGGACCGATCACATTGCATATCCGTCTTTGGATTTTGTCGAGAACCTCGAGTTGAACAGCGGGGTCACCAGACCATATATGGCAACAATATTCCATCCGTGGACAAATGGTAGATTTGTAGATGTGAAAGATATACTCAGATAAGAAAAACCTTCTGGCGCGACACAGTCAACCAACTTTCCTTGCAGTAGATGCAGCTATTGATTCAATGTAGTTGTTCCATCTCAGGTCAGTGGAAAACGTGAGACCAAGAAAGTACAGAGAGATGCTCTCGTGGAGTTGAGCATCAGCCATGCTGACAGGAGGCAGGCAGGTTTCTCCTATGGTGGTTAAATGAAAGCAGTTTCGTTTTGGAGGCATTAAAGTTTACAAGCCATTTGCTGCCCGACTCAACCACTGATTGCGGTCCTTTTTGAGACCAACGGCCAGGTTAACTTTGTCAGCAAATGCTGGATTTACTATTGAGACAGGAGTAAATGGTACTGTTGTCTGCGTAGATGCCTACTTGAGAAGTGATGACGTCAGAACGATCATTGAGGAAGATCAAAAACAGTACAGGACCAAGGATAGAGCTTTGAGGAACACCAACGTTCGTATGAAAGGAACTGGACGAGGATCCGTTCAGGACAACCTTCATTTCACGGTTAGGCAGGAATGATTAGATTAAATCAAATAATCGTCCTGTAATACCTTATCCCTGAAGCTTACGTAGAAGGCCAGCATGCCAAACCCTGTCAAACGCCTTTGATATATCTAGGCCAACAGCTCGAGCTTCGTCGCTATTATCAAGAGCTTAGTATACTTATTCAGTTATGGCCGTATGCACATCAGCGGTAGACCGAGCAAAGCGGAAACCATATTGTTTGTCAGAGAGCAGATCTGGAAGGTGGAGTAGAGCGGGCAAAGCGGAAACCATATTGTTTGTCAGAGAGCAGATCTGGGAGTGGGGAGATGGTTAACTACTTTGGCATTGATTAAAGCCCCGGAGATTTTGCCGAAGGGTGACAGGAGACTGATAGGACGGTAGTTAGATGGGTCAGTAGGGTCTCCAAAACCGGGACGATAGAGGAGGACTTCCAACAGGCTGGGAAGCAAAAATCAGCGAGGCAATAGTTGTATAGTTTGAAGAGAATTGGAGCCAGCTCAGGAGCACATTTCTTTAGGACTATGGCTGGTATCCCATCACCACCACTTTCTTTATAAGAGTCTAATTTAGAGATGACGTCTAATACCATCAACGGGGTTATGCACATCTCACTCAGTATAGCCTCAGTTCTTGGGAGAAAATCAGGTGTGGGAACCCCGGATGAGTCGTGTGTTGAGTTGGATGAGAATCTCCGAGCAAAGCATTCAGCCTAATCAACTGGGGATGTTAGGAATTGATTGAATAGAGGGGGATTGAGGATTTACTGTAGTTCAGCACACTCTTGCAGAGCCGTCAATAATCTTTAGAACCAAACTTGCGAGATGCAATACTTTGTTTCATTCTATCAGCAAACAGTAACTTTGCTTCATTGAGGACACGCTTGTACTAATTACGATTAGAGACAAAACCACGTCTTTTGCAATCAAACGTGACACTTCGGTAATGACGAAAGAAGTGATTCCTGTGGGCTATAGCGGCAGAGCAAGCAGGTGAGAATTACTTCCTTTTGAGGTGTTGAATACTGCATTTATGAACAAAACGTATTTCAATGACTTTGATAATAGCCAAACTTATTGGTTGGAAGACGATGTCAGAATATTGATGAAATGCCAATGTGGGTTTTTCAGTTACGGTGAGTAACTATCAACAGTGCTTTGGAAAGTGAATACATCGATACAAGAAGTGAACAGGTGTTTTCCTGATGACTACGAATCAACACAAGTGCTGCTATGACACGAATTTGCAGAAGAGAAGGAATGAATACATTACGTCTTGTTTTTTCCTCTCCACGACATTTGGTCTAAGGGGAGGGGGTCTTCCGAAAAAAAAATAATTGTGACCACTCATCACATTTGATAAAAAGAAATTCGAGCCCTTTTCTTCTGCGTTTTAAACACGCGCTTAGATTTTTTTCTCTTCGAAGGAAACATCACCCTGTGGCAATTAGTTCCTTCGAATGAAACATCACCCAGAGGCAATTAGTTCCTTCGAAGGAAACACCACCCAGAGGCAATTAGTTCCTTCGAAGGAAACATTACCCAGAGACAATTAGTTCCTTCGAAGGAAACACCACCCAGAGGCAATTAGTTCCTTCGAAGACAGAGACAGTTAGTTACTTCGAAGGAAACATCACCCTGTGGCAATTAGTTCCTTCGAATGAAATATCACCCAGAGGCAATTAGTTCCTTCCAAGGAAACACCACCCAGAGACAATTAGTTCATTCGAAGGAAACATTACCCAGAGACAATTAGTTCCTTCGAAGGAAACATTACCCAGAGGCAATTAGTTCCTTCGAAGGAAACACCACCCAGAGACAATTAGTTCATTCGAAGGAAACATTACCCAGAGACAATTAGTTCCTTCGAAGGAAACATTACCCAGAGGCAATTAGTTCCTTCGAAGGAAACACCAGCCAGAGGCAATTAGTTCCTTCGAAGACAGAGACAGTTAGTTACTTCGAGGGAAACATCACCCTGTGGCAATTAGTTCCTTCGAATGAAATATCACCCAGAGGCAATTAGTTCCTTCCAAGGAAACACCACCCAGAGACAATTAGTTCATTCGAAGGAAACATTACCAAGAGACAATTAGTTCCTTCGAAGGAAACATCACCCTGTGGCAATTAGTTCCTTCGAATGAAACACCACCCAGAGGCAATTAGTTCCTTCGAAGGAAACATTACCCAGAGACAATTAGTTCCTTCGAAGGAAACACCACCCAGAGGCAATTAGTTCCTTCGAATGAAACATCACCCAGAGGCAATTAGTTCCTTCGACGAAAACACCACCCAGAGGCAATTAGTTCCTTCGACGGAAACACCACCCAGAGGCAATTAGTTCCTTCGAAGGAAACATTACCCAGAGACAGTTCCTTCGAAGGAAACATCACCCTGTGGCAATTAGTTCCTTCGAAGGAAACACCACCCAAAAGCAATTAGTTCCTTTAAGAAAAGTGTTATGGGGTCCACCCCTTTTTCTATATGTGGACTCTACCAGTGTACCTGGACTGCTGCCGTTAAATACCCAGAGTTAGGCAGTCAGAGAGGGTAGTCGGATAGTGAGAGGGTAGTCGGAAAGAGAGAGAGAGAATATACGAACGGAGATAGTGTGAGGTAGCCTCTTGTAGAAGTCAATTACACGCACGTAGACTCTAAGGAAGTCCTACTTCGAGACTGTATATATCTACTATTGCTACTAACCGTGTTCCTGGATTTACTAACAGTATTACCCTTTGTATGATTGTGTAAATATATTTTATTTCTTATATTTAATTATTGCGTTTGTTCTTCATTGGAGACCGAATTCATCTCGGAATCCACAACAACTTGGCAACAAGGATTCGAACACACGCGGGAAACAAAAAATCAACAAAAGAAAAATATTTCCTCGTCGTACAACACAACAAAAAGTCTTAAAGTACGTATTGTTTATTTTTTCAGGTGAGCTAAATGATATATTTTTCATTCGCGAAATAGGTGACTGATATGAAATTTGTTTTTGGTTTGGTTTATTTTGTTTTACAGATTATCAACCTCAATGGATTATTTAATGACGACACAATTTTTAGGGCAGTTTCGTACGAATAGAATATATATTCTTTGTAAGAAATCAGTTTGTAGGAGATTAGGTTTTATTGACGTATTTTTGTTAAGAGGTTTTTGTAGAGAGTCAATTTTTAAATGTATTGTTGGTAATATTTCTTTCTTTTTCAATAATGTATTGTTAGCAATAATTTTTCTTTTTTTAAAAAAATGTATTGCTGGTAATTTTTACTATAAAATCCATTTTTATAGTTTCATTGTGGTTTGACCTCAGTTTTGGGGATAACTATTTGTCAATAGTTGGGACCCTAACAGGTGCTACCACCTCGGCTCAGGGAGGACCTGGGAACAAAAGCAATCAAGAGGTGGTTTCACGCTCCTCAAAATTTCTCGATCAGAGGCCTTGCTGCCAGTTGCAGTTTATTTCATCAATAATTAAAACAAAAATCAGTAGATATTTTGTTTAAAAGTCATCCTAAACATTAACGTTATTAATAAAATAATATAAAATATACAAAGGTCCTTTTTAAATGAATATCAAAACAGGGCAACGTTTATCCCGAAGAAGATAAAATATTTTTCCTTCGAAGTCTCAGTAGCTTCATTTTTTTTTCAAAACCAATAAAATTTTATTTCTCGATTTAAACGAAACATGAATTTAATACAAACAAGAAAAATACATTCCGTGAGAAGCAGAAGCATTTCTACGAAAAATAGTGCCTATGGCAAGAACTGAAACTACGCCGCTCTTTAAAAAACGAATATCCAGTCTTAAGATCACTTTGCCAAAAAATCAGCTCAAAAATACAAGTCAGTTTTGTTAATATTTTAATTAACAAATTATGGCATTACATAAAAATTACAATTGCACATTCCTTGCTTCGATGAATGCAAATTGGTCTAGGCTATGGTCAAAGTCAGTTTTTTCAGTTTCTCCTGTTTCTACACTCAGCAGACCAAGATCACAGAATCCATGGAGCCTCTCAAATATGAAAGTTTTAACTTGCTAAATGATCTCACACAGCTGGCGATAGAAACTGCGATTTTTAATATTATATGAGTAGCAATGTGGAGATTAGGGAAACACTCTCATCTCCACACTGAAAAATAAATTCGAAAGGCTCTTCAGGTTTTGTTACCGGCCGTTAATAACGTTGCCGTTTGAGTTGAGAAATAACACGAGTCCCTGAAATACCCACAACAAAAATGGCGGACTCAGTATGTGAGTCCACGTGAATAAATACAAAAAAATAACAACAATAACCAATACATCAAATACATATACAAACAAATGATAATGTATTAACAAGAAAGGTATACAAGCAACAAAGACAATGATGCGTGAAACAAAAGAATGTGAAAGCATTTTTGGTCTAAAGTATGAGAAGTGAGAGGAATGTGCGTACGTACGTGTGTTGTGTGTATGTGGTTTGTTGATGCGTTTCCTAATGAGAAACACGTTTTCCACGAGAGACTAACATATTGAGGCGTAAGCGGAAAAAGTAAATTATCGCAGAATATTTATAGTCCGGAGAGTGTCCCCTAGTAGCGGTTTCAGGAAAGTAGGTGGTGTTAACCCCACAGCTTTGACATTTTCGCGTTTGCTCGACTTGATAACAACATCCTGCAATCCAAAATTTCTTCATATAGCAGCTGTCCATCAACATCAGAACTACAATTCGCTCATGTTCTTATACTTCTCCCTTAGGTCGTTACTGGCGGCGGCGGCGGCGCGGTAACACAATGCCTCGACATCGAGAAAGAACCCAAACTTCGCGTTATTGTCGTGCAGACAAGCGAACTTTTCATCCATTTCTCTGTGAAGACGGTCGAGTGTTCTCGTTGTAGGAGACCGTGGGTTTACGCGTTGTTGAATTAGGAACACGTGTGTAACTTCTGGTAGAATATTAAAAGGTCCACTACAGGAATATGGCGGACTCAAGTTGAGTCCAACCGAAGATGTGTAAAGAAAACAAACAAGACCGACATATATATATATAAAAGAAAGAGGTTGTAGTGGTTCCAACGAGAGAAAAGTATGTATATTAAAAAGAAGAGAAGAGAGGTGCCGCAAACGTTTTTGGTGGTAATGTGTTTTTTTTTTAGAAAAAAATATTATGCTTTATTTACTACACGTGTTTCTGGCCTTCAGATAAAAGCGGAGATTTCCACATATAAAAAATGATTAATTTTTTCCTTATGTTTTTCAATGTTGAAATGTTGTGCTGTCTTCAGGCTGCTGTATATTTTTCTGTAGTGGGTCAGAGTCGGAGCACGTTATGGAAAAAACGTCGGTAGTGTTCAGCGTTTTCTATTAAAATTGTCTTTTTCCAGTGCTCCACGTTGAATTGGCTTTGTCGTCCCGTCGTACTGTTTCACGACCGTAGTTTTGTTTGAAAATGAGCTCGTTTGCGTGGATAAAGTTGGCGCTCAAAGTTTAATAGAAGCAGCGTCGTGGCAAAGTTGAGCTGATGTAGAATTTCTACCGAGTGTCGAATGCATGCCTGAGAATTTAAGAAATATTTACTATTATTGTCGATTGAATATCGTACTTGCAAAATCTTAGTATGTTCGAGTTGTATCGTTGCAGAATGAAGATAAAGGACAGTAAGTCACCTTTGGAGATGTGGTGCCGCACTTTATCTATTTCAATTCAGAAGATGAGAATTAGTTGAAAAGTGGCGTTGCGTTTTCCGTTTGGTAACACCGTAAGCATACACGCCGGGTGTAATTGGATCAAACGTCGCCGATAAACTTTAGGTTTATAATACCCAGAAATTCAAACACAGATTTCCTCAAGGACACATGGCACAGTGAATAAAGGCGTTAGTTAGATCCAGTGACAGGACCCAAAGTGTGTGAGTTCAATACCTGGTTAATGCAGTGGAGAACTTGGAGAGGGAAATTAATAGGAGATAACTGATAACTGACATCCATTAGACAAAGCACGTGGAGCTAGAACAGTCTACCCCAGTGAGCGAAATAAAGGGTTCAGTTCGACATTCCAACCCCCTGAAGAAGGCCGGAGCGTATAACGGCCGAAAGGTTGGGATAAATATGGCGACAGAGATTAGAACGATAGTCCGAACAATGTACATAATACCTCAATCTCGAAGTTTTATCGTGAAAAAGTTTTTTTTTTATATTCCTTTGTAGCACGTTTGAAAATTTTGGTTGAAATTGTTTTTATTTTTACCTCAGCGGTCGTTAGCATTAACTTTATGAAAAACACATTAATTTGGAAAAAATCAAATAATTGTCGGATTTTAATGAAACTTTCAGAACTTATTCAAAAATGGATGAAATTATTTTAGAAATGTTTTTTTCTTTTTTAGAAAGTCATGGCAAAAATATATATTTACAATGTTACACCCACGCCCATTAATTTTATGAAAACTTGAAAACTTGAATATGCGCATCTCTGTATTTTTTAATTAAATACAGAAGACTTTGAAGAATATAAATCATCGATTTCTTTTTTAAAATTGAAGAGCGTTTCTACCCAAACTTTAGCTCTGAATTGTAAAATACAAAACCCAATAAAACATAAGACATTATTTAATTAAAAAGCTTTTAATGGCTTTTATGAATAATATATATTAAGGACATATTTTTCGATTGTCGAGCGTTCTCAAATTCAAAATTTGAAAATGTAACGATATTTTCCACCATGATGTGCTTCACGAGGGTTACATACAGTTTGAATTTAGTTGTTCTTTTCCTACACTAATTGTCCACTCCGGACGATTGACAAATCTATTCCTATTGAGGGAAAAAATAACAAATAAATAGCAAATAAAATTTCAGAGTTTAGGCAGAGATATTAAAAGTATAGAGTTGAAGCAAAACATAAATGTAACCGGAAATAAGAAACAAGGGATAAATCACTACTCCTGTTCAAAAGATAAGAGAGGAGTGTGAACAGGGTGATAGGCGAATCTACCTACTCCTATTGAGAGGAAAAATAACAAATAAAAATTTCAGAGTTTAGGTGGAGATGTTAAAAGTATAGAGTTGAAGTAGCCTTTAGATTATAAGGAACTGGGAATCCGGTTCTAAATATGGAAACAAAGGATAATCATCTACACCTATTCCGGAAAGACCGGGGAAAACGTGGACCGAATGATAGGCGTACCTACCTTACTCCTAGCGACGGGCTTGCAATATTGCGTTTATAAATAAAATGCAATTCTACTTTATTAATTTCATCGATTAAAAGGAAGGGAAAAACTCAAATTCTAACACAATGTTTCTCAATCTTTTTAAGGAACGGCACACCGAGAAGCAAATGAAAATAACACGGCACACTTAGGAAAATTTTTAAAGGGCATATGCTGATTCTATGCCGATGATACGCCTATATACGGATGCACCTGTTGGGGACGTGCAGAGTTTGTTAATTATGTGAGAAATAATCAGAAGGAATTTTGAGTTGGTTGCGTGTCTGTCTGCATCCCAAACAAATAATTAAACTAAATTCAAAATACAATTGAAAAGACGGGACATATTCAATTAGAAATTAAAACAACATTTATATACAATTCAACATATATACAGATAGGATTATTCATGTATGATATGTATGCGAGATGTGTATGTAGTTTTTAGATTTCCGAATGTCTCTTTTTGCGATTGTTCGTTGATTTTGTAGTCTTTTGTTTGTGTTGATAATTACGATTGTTAATAATAAGTGTCTTTTAGAAAGAGTTTTTGTAGAGTGATCTGTTTTTTTGTGATTGTGTTTTTGTAATGTCGTTCGTTCGTTAGTGTTTACTTAATTAAGTAGTGAATTTAATTCACTTTACATAAGCAAAGTTGAGAAATGGTGTACACAGAGTTGATTAATGCTTGATCGAGTATGAGTCAGCGATGTATCTTTTTTGCGCGGCAAAATTGTGATTCGTAGTGACGTGGAATATTTTGGAAAGTTCTCTGTGAATGCGTGTTACTGACTGCCTGGGGCTGTCTTCGTTTATTTTTATATGGTCTGAAATTCCAAAGGTGGCTCACTTGAGTTTTGGCGCAATTTCTATTTTGCACGTGAACTTCAAGTGATGAACCAATGAGATTGTTTGCTTCGTTTCGTGCAGTTTTGATTGGTTGATGTTTTTTCGGTACGTAGTCGTAAGATGTGGACTGTGCTTTTGTTAGGGTTGGAAGGTAAGGAAAATTGGACGAGTCTACACACCTCTAAAAAACTTTCGACGATCAGATATTGGCGACTGATTCCTCTTTCGATCTTGCACAAGCTACCCAATTGGGGTAAAAACTGGCTGGTTACATTCAATTCCTCGAAGACCAAGTTATTTACATTCCATCATCGACGATCTGACCCCGAATTGCCACCATTCTTGATGAACGGAAGTCCTCTTGTTGGGCCTCACACCCCCGACCTCAAGTGGAACACGTACATACGATACATTGCTAAGGATGCAAGTAAAATGGCCGGCTCTCTGTACCGCTCCAGTAAGTACCTGATGGTTTCGCGTACCTTTGATTATCTGGGTACTTTTCTGTTACCAGTTGATGTGGTCATACAAATAGTGAGATTTGAACACTCCAGGTCGCAGGTCTGAACAATGATGAACGAGGACATTCATCTGCCCAAACAAAACCCAACTTTCGGGATACGAGTTTTGAGATTGTTTTGGTCGTAAGAATTAACGCGAAGATGTCAGTGTCGATTATCAAATGTCTTAAAGATACTACTCCAGAATTTTAGTCTGGATTCACTTTTACTGATATATTCAAGATATCATTTCAAGAAATTCAGTTGTCTTTCTCCAACAGTCAAGACAAAGAGAAAAAACAAAATAAAAATAAAAGTAAAGGGAAGCAACTCTTATACTTCTTATAAACTTACTTCCCTTAAAGTAAAAAAAATTTCAAATATTTGCAAACTTAATAAAATTCAATATATATACAATAATAAGTCAACGCAAAAAAGGAATGATTCTTTGAAGTAAGCTGTATTATTTGGAGCCTGAAAATTTATATTCAAATTCATATTCAGCACCTTAAATAAGTGATACTATGATTTAAAATATATTTTAAAAATGAAAATTATTTTATGGAGTTTTTATTTAAGTTTTAATTCCAAGCTAGATTAAATTTAATATTTCCAATAAGCAAACTATTTTTAAACTCAATTTAAATGATTGGAATTATATTTTTCTTATAATCAGTAAAATCGAGAAAATCTTCCATAATGACCAATCCGTCGACAAAACAATTATCTTTAATAATAATAATAAAAAAATCTTTCAAAAACAAAATATACTTGTTTGAAAAATTATTTAAAAAAAATATATAGCAGCTTTGAAGATTAATTAATCTGAAATGAAAGAAATATTACTTTTAGTTTAAAGTATCGCAGAAAAGCTTCTTTTTTTTTTTTTAAACACGGAGGTATATGTATTTTTACCAATATTTTCTGAAGAAACGTTTAAAGAATAAAGTGTTTAATTTGGGAATAAGTTCTGAGAATTTCATAAAAATCCGACAAATATTTAATTTTGTTGCCGGTTGGAATAGACATGCAAATAGAAATAATTCGACTTGAAAAAAAAAAAAAAAAAAAAAAAACGGAAGTTCGGTTGAAGTAAATGTGAAAGAGTTTAAAAAGAAATAAAATAAAGAAAGAAAGGCAAAAGGACAGAGAAAAGATAATTTGTATCAAAAACAACTAGCGACTGAAATGAAAATGGAAATGAAAAGGACAAAATTTTATATTAGAAAATAATCGAGCCGGAAAAAGAAGAGGAAAATTAAATAAAAAATGAGAAAAAAATAAGAATGAGAACAAAGATAGGAAATAAATGAATGAGTAAATAAGGAAAGAAAAAGAGAAATACAAAGAAAGTGGATAGAAACTGAATCAAATATGACCGCCGGATGGAATAAGGGAGGTAATAAACAATTGCAGACAAAAGTGACATGGCGTTAAAAGTTAAGAAAATTAACGTCTGCATCAAATGAAAGCAAATAAACAAATAAATATAATAAGCAGCGAAAATTTCAGTTTAAAGAAACAGTGAACAAAAAAGAAAAGAAAAGAAAAACAAAAGCGGGAGAAAAGTAAAAGAAAGAGAAAAGAAAATGATCTAAATGTTTGTATCAATTAAAAAGCCGTCTTAAATAGCAGTTCCGGCATTTATCTTTTAAGCTCCGAAATGTATTTCCGATTTCGGACACACAAATTCAATGTACAACAAATAAAGGAAATAAGCAGCTTACATTTGAAATAAAATAATCGATAAAAAAATAATTAAAAAAAAAGAAAAGAAGGAAAATAGAAGAATATGCATGAATGTATGAAATAAAAGTGCCGTCTGAAATAGTAGTGGCGACATGCATTTTTCAACCTGGATATGTTTCTATGTTCAATAAACACATATATAGAAGAGCAAATAAAATAAATGATGGGGCTATATTTAAATTATAAAATGTGATTAAAAAAGCGTGAGAAAATTAGATAAAGGGAAGAAAGAAGGATATTCATGAATGCATGAAATAAAAGTGCCGTCTGAAATAGTAGTTGCGACATGTATTTTTCAACCTGTAAAATGTGTTTCCATTTTCAAATAAACACATATAAAGGACGACAAGAAAATAAATGAGGTGGCTAAATTTAAATAAAAAAATGATAAAAAAAACGTGGGGAAATAAGGGAAAGCGATAAGAAAATGTTATGAAAATGATATATATATATATATATATATATATATATATATATATATATATATATATATATATATATATATATATATATATGTGTGTGTGAAGAAATATAGTTTTAAGGTGTGCTATATTTATGGGATAAAGTGTTCAATATCAGAGATAGAGCGTATGTAAATATAAATATAAAAATATAAAAGTGAACATTGAAGTCAACATTCAGAGAGGACAGGCTGTTTCAATAATGTCAATAGCATTAAAATTAAGTATATAGAACATTACATAAATAGTATAAGTTCCATGCATGCACAATATATATATATATATATATATATATATATATATATATATATATATATATATATATATATATATATATATATTGGTTCCATTTATATAAATATAGCAAATTCCAACTTGGCACCATGTCTATTCTACAGAGAATCGACTAAAGAATGGAGTTTTATTCGTTCTTCCATTCCCTTTATTTTAGCTTCATGGCGTCTTTCTTTCCACCTCGTTCTTATATTTCTCTACTGCGTTCTTTTTCGTCATTATGAATTCTATTTCTCTCTTATTTTCACCAACTCCTTCTTTATCTTCTTCGCTATTCTTTCTTGTCTATTCTTTTCTATTTTCTTTAATTTATTCACGAATCCTTTTCCTGGTCTGTTACAAAACTGCAAACTGTTCACAGTATGTTTTCTTCTGGGGTGGTCGCTCATTTATAACTGAGACTAAGTTCATCATTGCTCGACGTGAATGGACGGTGAGAAAATCCCACACAATTACATTCAGGCGAATGGTAAGTGACTGGTGATTAAATCTAGTCATTTACCATTCGCCTGAAGAGGCACAACGTAATACCGAAACACGGAAGCTATTGTGTAGCGATTTTAACGTTTTCGTTCTAATCTAAAATAATAATAATAATAATAATAATAATAATATATATATATATATATATATATATATATATATATATATATATATATATATATTATAAATTAACTGATTTAAAGATATGGTTACAATCCTAGACAGGAATTACCCTGTTTCAAAAACAGAAACAAAAAACTTCAAATTCAGTTATATATTTAAATCAATTTTGATGCGAAGTGAATTAAACAAACTCGGCCGTTACATCAATCCTACACACGCATATTATTTAACGTGTATAAAATTTTAGGGGTTTAAACAAAATTTTAACGTGTATAACATGGCAGGAGTTTAAATATCAGACGGGAAATCTTAACAATGGCAAAAGTACAAACACCATATTAGCGCTTGTTCACAAAAGACAAACATGACAACATTGATTTGATCTTCAAATCAAGGGTTAATAGTTATCTATCCTTCTTATCCTCATCGTCTTCACCTCCTACCACCTTCTCTTCCACTCGTATCTCACATGACGTTTCTTATCATCATATCAACCTTAACCTTTAGTAAAATATATCCCTCTGGGATGGTAAAATATCTAAAATTTGTAACTGTAATTTATAATCGTATTATAATTGTGCTAGTCCCTTCCTCAGTTAGTTTGCACGACCGTTACGCCCTGTCAATACTTCATCAAGAATGGGCTATTTTGATAGCGTGGAAAGCGAGGAAAAGACATTGTTCGGTTTTGGTGAGAATTTGAAAAGAAAGAAAGTAAGATACAAGTAGAGAGAGTTAATCAGATACTGCACTTTGATTTTAGTCAAAAGGCTCGAGAAGCGATTGTATTTTTCAGCGCGCTCACGTCGCTGACACAAGGTCGGAGTTTAGAGAGGGTTTACTGGCAATACCGTAGAAAAATTACCCAAGGCCCCAAAGCGGCACTTACCCTTTTGGATACGCCTCAGGCCCCGGGCAATAAAGCCATCTTCCCCCCCTCCCGAAGAAGTACTGCCTAGGGCTTGGGCTTAAAATTTTGTCCCTCTCCGACACCCAAAATGGCCGAGAAACCATAGCGACCGCTATAAATGCGTCTTTTTTTCAAAAGCACACTATCGAACGATGTAAACAGAGTAAGCAATCGCCAAAAATCCAATTACCATAAATTAAATTAAATAACATCTGCTGAATTATTAGAAGTTCGTCTCTTCATGTCCATCGTGTCACATTATTTTTATTTTACCAAAAATATATATTCTTCCTTGTATATCTTTTGCTCTCACTCCTAAACCTGCAATCAGAATCACTAATAGTTAATTTACATATATTCTTTCCGAATTCAAAGATAATATTTTGTTAAAATTCTACTCATTATTAGAATCAACATTCACCTGCTGTGATGTGTTCTGATTTAAAAGAAAAAAGCCGAACTTGTTGGTCCGAATAACGATTAGGGAAAGGGACTAATTATTTCAGTCTAAAAAATGAACTATAAAATACTTTGAAACTTCTATTTTTTTCAGTACGTAACATTCTAATCTCTGTTTTCCTGTTCACACACATGATAAGTCTCAATTCCTTCTTTACTGCCTACCTTTCTTCTTTCTTATCTATCTATCTATCTATCTATCTATCTATCTATCTATCTATCTATCTCAGTCTGTTCCTTATCTATCTATCTATCTATCTATCTATCTATCTATCTATCTATCTATCTATCTATCTCAGATGCACAAATTTACTTTCTCTCTCTCACTATTTTTATTTCCCATTTACTTTCTTTCTCACTTTCTCTGTCTTTCGCTTTTATCTCCTCCATTCTCTTTCAATATCATGACCAAACAAACCCTTGCATTTATATAACAAAATCACACCTTGTTTTTTGGTAGGCCCATCCCACTGCCATTTAACCGACTCCCGTGAGTTACAGACAATCCTGAACCAATACCAATGGCTTCCCTGTTTCGCCAGTCCATATCTGACGACGCATCTCTTAGATCTTTTAATATCAAATCCCCCGATTCTCCTCACGTATTATTTCTTTCTCAACTTTTTATTTGTGCAACGACTCTGATGGTGAGTGGGTTGCTTTAAGCAAACTTTGTAACCTGTTTTCATTTGCACAA